ATGGCTATAAAAAAACAAACAAACAAAGTCCAGTTGCCTCCTGAAAAAGCACCTTTGAAACAACAATGACCTGGATAACAGAACTCCACACATTTACAATGGTTTGCAGCATCCTGTAACTGAAAAACAGCCGTAAGTCACATTTTTCAGTGCCCTTGTAACTTTGAATGGTCACTAAATGAACTGTTGTAAGTTGAGGCCTATCTTTCATAGACTCTTTAAGGATCCTACTGGTCTCGCCTGGATCCCAATTTGGCTTCCTGGGTTCCACTATCTAGCTTCCCTCTCAATCGAGTTCTTCCTGCAACCACTGTATTCCTTGAACTCGGGCTCTTTCTCACAACCCCTGGATTTGCACAAAACACTTTTGTCAGCTCCAGGAGAGACCCTAGCAGGTTTATGTACAGCATGATAAGTTGGGTTAATAATTCAATTTAGTGCAGCATTAGGAAGGAAGATGCAAGGCACGGCACAGTTGGTCTTGGGAAGTTTGATAATGCACTTTGTCAACAAATTTGTTCTATCAGTTTAGAAATGCCCCGTCTAAATAGAAATTACATTGGCAGAGTTTCAAACACTCTTTAAAAGAACAAAAACCTTGAAAAGTGTTGAATTACCTATCTAATACATGGGATTTGATAACTGGACAACATAAATAGATTCTCCAGGCTGCTATTATAGCTAGAAGATTGATACCGTACCGCTATATTGGAAAGCTAAATCTATGGCCCTTTCACTCAACAGATGGGAAAACCTGATTGTATTTGCTGCCTGTGAATGGATTGCTATAGAGATGTAGATCTTGTATGGATAAATATAGGGAAATATGGGACTCAAAGTACAATAGATTAAAAATAGTCATGTAAATATTACACATGGGTAATAATAAAAGGAGAATATTTGTAGCTCAGGGTTGACAAGAGGATCCTACTCTACTAGCACACGCATGAATAATGTTTGTACCAGTGGTGAAATCTGAATTTTTTTACTACTGGTTCTGTGGGCGTGGTGTGGCTTGGTGGGCGTGGCTTGGTGGGTATGGCAGGGGAAGGATACTGCAAAATCTCCATTCCCACCCCACTCCTGGAGGAAGGATATTGCAAAATCTCCATTCCCACCCCACTCTGGGGCCAGCCAGAGGTGGTATTTGCTGGTTCTCCAAACTACTCAAAATTTCCGCTACCAGTTCTTCAAACTGCTCAAAATTTCCATTACTGGTTCTCCAGAACCTGTCAGAACCTGCTGGATTTCATCCCTGGTTTATACCAGATAATTACATATAGAACTGTGTTTATTGTTGTAATCTAATAACATATACGCTGCATCTTATTTTTTCATATTCTTTTTCATTTATTTTTAAGTACTTGTGTATTTTTATAATGTATATGTTTTGTTTTTGCTTTTTGGGTATTTTTTTTTAAGCCATACAAATTTTATTTTAAAAAGCTACCCTGAAAAGTGACTCTGTTTTGTCTCTCGGGGCCAAGTTAATCTCACATCAAAACTGGGAGTCTGACTGACCAGAATACGCTATGTTTCTTTCCTTCTTTCTGCCATTATTCTCAGACTGACCGCAGGGAATCATGGTTTAGCAGCACTTGGATGTTGATCTGGTATCATAATTACTGTTTCTACATTGCTTTTTCTTCCCCAAGGAACTCAGAGCAGTTTACAAGAGAAGGGGAAAAGTCTTCCTGCCATTGCCATAAAAGGAAAAAAAATATAACAATAGCAGATCCAGAGGCTGTTTTTGTGAACAAGAGTGTCTTTAGTTGTTCTCTTAAAGAAATACAGTAGTAATGAATTCCTAGAGTTTGGGGGTAAAACGTTGTAAAGTGGAGCAGCACCTGCTGCTATTCCCTGATTTACATCAGAGGTTCCTGTATCCCATCTCCTTTGGGATCTAGGATCCTATAGATAGGCAGAAATTCAACAGGAATGTATTTTTTTTTTACTGTAGTAGAAAATAGATCCCAACTTAGTTATCAAAGGGACCACAAAGGTGTTTATCTAACTGCCTGTTCAAAAATGTTAGCGTCGAGCAGGAGACAAAAGCAAGTATTATCATCTCGACTAAGGGACACATTTATTTGTGCTATTTAGGAAAATTATATCTCGATTGCTGACGAGGGAAAAAAAAGAAACGAAGGCCCATACAGGCAGTTGTTTAGACGATCCTAAAGGTCCTTAAGCGACAGGACCTTCCGTCAAATCCCAATGACGGGTCATAGAGAGAGAGAAGGCTGTCTCGTTCCTCCTGCATCTCGTAATAGTACAGTCCAAGCGGAGGCGTCCCCAATGGCGGGGACGGTACCAATGGTGTGAAAGAGGGGGGAAGTGTTGCCTCCAGTCTCCGTATGGTCTCACGAAGGGCTCCTTCTGCAGGGCTTTTCTGAGCAGCAAGGAGGGACTGTCTGGGGTGTGGAGGTACGGAAGGAAGGAGCTCTATGGGCGATTTTCCTTCCCCTTGTGACATTGGCAAGGAGTGTGGGGCTGCTTTCCTCAATGGGGGAGGTGTGTGTGTAGTAAGGCTGAATGGGGGTAATGGTGAAGTTGGTAAAACAGTAAAACCAGAGAAAGCAACGGTGGGGAGGGTGCATGTTGTGCCTCTGCAGGCATCTCTGATCTTGCCATAGCTCAGTGGTGAAATCCAATTTTTTTTAACTACCTATTCTGTGGGCGTGGGTGTGGTGTGGTGTGGCTTGGTGGGCGTGGCAGGGGAAGGATACTGCAAAATCTTCATTCCCTTACTGCAAAATCCCCATTCCCACTCCACTCCAGGGGAAGGATACTGTAAAATCTCCATTCCCATCTCACTCCAGGGGAAAGGATATTGCAAAATCTTCATTCCCTCCCACTCCAGGGGAAGGATACTGCAAAATCCCCATTCCCTTCCCACTCCAGGGGAAGGATATTGCAAAATCTTCATTCCCTCCCCACTCCAGGGGAAGGATACTGCAAAATCCCCATTCCCTTCCCACTCCAGGGAAGGATATTGCAAAATCTTCATTCCCTCCCCACTCCAGGGGAAGGATACTGCAAAATCTCCATTCCCACTCCACTCCAGGGGAAGGATACTGCAAAATCCCCATTCCCTCCCCACTCCAGGGGAAGGATTCTGCAAAATCTCCATTCCCACCCCACTCCAGGGGCAGGATACTACAAAATCTGCATTTCCACTCTACTCCTGTGGGGAAGGATATTGCAAAATCTTCATTCCCTCCCCACTCCAGGGGAAAGATACTGCAAAATTCCCATTCCCTCCCCACTCCAGGGGGAAGGATATTGCAAAATCTCCATTCCCACCACACTCCAGGGGAAGGATACTGCAAAATCCCCATTCCCATCCCACTCCAGGGGGAAGGATACTGCAAAACCCCCATTCCCTCCCCACTCCAGGGGGAAGGATATTGCAAAATCTCCATTCCCACCCCACTCCAGGGGCAGGATACTACAAAATCTGCATTTCCACTCTACTCCTGGGGGAAGGATATTGCAAAATCTCCATTCCCACCCCACTCTGGGGCCAGCCAGGGGTGGTATTTGCCGGTTCTCCAAATTCCGCTACCGGTTCTCCGAACTGCTCAAAATGTCCGCTACCGGTTCTCCAGAACCTGTCAGAACCTGCTGGATTTCACCCCTGCCATAGCTCCTTCCAAACTTTTTTTGGAGCAGGCTCATTTCTGCCTGATGCCTGCTGCATCAATTGCTGAATAGGGGTAGCTTCTAATGCCCAAAGAGAATGCCACCTGTCACTAACCACAATTGTCTCTGTCTGAGTCCCTGTTCTGGCTTTGCATTCCACCAGTTTTGGCTGCCTGCATCCCTCCTTCCTGGAGCTGCACACAACCAAACGGAACACCCTGCTTCTTCCTTATATAATCTTGTTTTTCAACCTGAGCCACTTTTAAGATGTGTGGATTCTGGGAATTGAAATCCACACATTTCCCCCCAAAAAACCCTGGTATCTTAATTGCTGTTGAATCCTGTAACAGGGCTACAGTTACGGCTTCTTTCTATTGTAGCAAGATAATTTATAAAATATAAAATTCGTTATCCTCTGAAACCAAAGCTGGACATGATGTCAATGTCCAGATTTTGTTTTGTGTGTAACTTTTTCTGTTTAAAAGAAAACGATTTTTTTTGTTTGTTTTTGGGGATTGGAGGAAAAGGTTCCGATTGATCAATTATTGATATATTTTTATACGTTGCCCGCCTCTTTTTTACTTAGCAGGGAGATGTCCCAGAGGTGCTTTTTTCCAGGACAACCATGACCTAGATCTGGGATGGCGAACCAATGGCACGGGTGCCACAGGTGGCACACGGAGCCATATCAGTGGGCATGCAATTGTTGCCGTAGCTCAGTTCCAGCGCGCATGCATGCGCCGGCCAGCTGTTTTTTGGGCCTTCCGGTCCCACCGGAAGTTGGGAAATGGGCTGTTTCCGGCCTCCGGAGGGCCTCTGGGGTGGGTGGGGAAGGCCATTTTCGCCCTCCTCAGGCTCCTAGAAAGCCTCTGGAGCCTGGGGAGGGTGAAAAACGGGCTTACTGGGCCCACCAGGTCATTCTGTGCTAAAAGCTGGGGAGGGGGGTGCAGGAAGGGGCGCAGCACATACACGGGGGCGGGGTGCATTGAATTATGGGTGTGGGGATGCACGTGGGCGTCCTCCCCGCTCTCCCCCCGCTTTTGGCACGCGACGGCAAAAATGTTAGCCATCCCTAACGTAGATGACTGAGAATCTCCATAGACATTTACCAGGGAGATGGGGATTTTTTAATTTCTCCTGCTTGTTTTAATCGTCTGGTGTTACCTAACCATTTATGCTCTTTTTCTTCCCTTCTACCACCTCCATCTTCTCCTTGGCTTGAAGGATGGCAGCTCGGCGTGTGATAAAAGCAGTCTTGGTGGATCTGAGCGGTACACTTCATATAGAAGACTCAGCTGTGCCAGGAGCCCAGGAAGCTCTTAAAAAGCAAGTTCTTTCCTCCAAGTTCCATTGAAGGATGTGGCGGGAAAGTGACAATTTTGCAAATTCCACTTCTTAGCTGAGAAGATACTTTTGCTTCTGATGATGTTACCGAGTTTGGTAATAAAACGTCTGCCAAAAAACCCAACCAAGCTCAGAAAGCACCGAGGACCCCACAGTTCAACCCTGAGCTACAAATATTCTCTTCTATTGGAAATAAGTGTTTTTGGCAAAACCTTTGTACTGTAAAATACAGTCACATGACTGTATTATGCCGCAAATGGTCGTATAATGTGGGTGTGTTGCCAAGCATCCTGGGTGCAGTCATGGCACTGTGGGAAGGAGATGATCATGGGAACTTTGGATCGGGGTTGTAAGTCCCCTTTTTCAAGTAGGTCGTAACTTCAAACTGACACTAAGCCACCAGTTGTAAATCAAGGACAGGGGTGAAATGTAAAATCTGTTACTACCGGTTCTGTGGGTATGGCTTGATGGGGGAGGGGTAATGTGACTGGGTGGGCGTGGCCAACTTTAAAAAAAAAAACTTTTCAAAGCATTTTTTCTAATGCTTTGAAAAGCCTCTCTGCCGATCAGGAACTCAGCTGGGATCGTCAGAGACTTTTCAAAACATTTTTTTTACCACCTCTTCGGCCAAGAGGTTGCAGAAAAAAATGCTTTGAAAAGCCTCTGACGATCCCAGCTGAGCCGCACGATCATCAGAGGCTTTTTTTTTTTTTACTTTTAAAAGCATTTTTTCATCGGAAGAAGTTGTAGAAAAAATGCTTTTAAAAGTAAAAAAGAAAAAAGCCTCTGATGATCGTGCGGCTCAGCTGAACATGGGGGGGGTGCAGGGATTTTTGCTACCGGTTCTCCGAACCACCTGCCGCCATCGCTACCGGATCGGGCGATCCGGTCCGAACCGGGAGCATTTCACCCCTGGTCAAGGACCACCTGTATTGTAAGTACAGGTAGCTCTTGACTTAACAAACACAATTAAGCCCAACATTTCTATTCTTATGCGAGACATTGGTTAAATAGGTTTTGCCCCATTTTACAACCTTTCTTGCCACCGTTGTTAAGTGAATCACCACCATCAAAAAGTTAATCACATGGCTGTTAAGTGAATCTGGCGTCCCCATTGATTTTGCCTGTCCAAAGGTTGCAAAAGGGGATCGCAATACGATCTTTTGCGAGATCGTAAAACGGGGCCAAACTCAGGTGACAAATGTCTCATTTATTAGCAGCATACATTTTGGGCTCCCTTGTGGTCGTACGTCGAGGATTACCTGTGGTAGAATGTTGTGGTCCACCAACACCCTGCGGAGCTGGCAGCAGAGTCAGACAGTGAGGAGGCTGGGGGGGACAATGGGCCAGTCCTGGTGTCAGAGGAAGGCCCGGACAAGGGCTCTGCGTCAGAGGCAGAGATGGGGCCAGGGCCATCTGGGAGCGATGCGCGGACTCTGGAGCCTCCAGAGCAGTGGTGACATCTAAAATTTGTTACTACCAGTTCTGTGGGCGTGGCTTGGTGGAGGGGGTAATGTGACTGGGTGGGCGTGGCCAATTTTTTTTTTAAACCATTTTTTCTACAACCTCTTCAGCGAAGAGGTTGTAAAAAAATGCTTTCAAAAGCCTTTGACGATCCCAGCTGAGCCGCGCGATCATCAGAGGCTTTTTTTTAACTTTTAAAAGCATTTTTTCGTCCGAAGAGGTTGTAGAAAAAATGCTTTTAAAAGTAAAAAAAAAGCCTCTGATGATTGTGCAGCTCAGCTGGGCATGGGGGGGGGAGGGCAAGGATTTTTGCTACCTGTCTCCATCGCTACCGGATCGAGCGATCCGGTCCAAACCGGGAGCATTTCACCCCTGCTCCAGAGGCGGATAGCAGAGAGGCAGAGGAACAGGAGGAGCCTGTTCCTAGTGCGTGCATGCGAAGAGCTGCCAGAAGGCAAGAGCAGCTAAAGCAAAAAGGACGACTCGGGAGTAAGGCCAGGAGATGATTGGCCCCTCCCAGAAGGCTTAAAAGAGCAGCAAGGGCTCTTGGGTTCTTTGTAGGAAAGCAAATTTGTTGCTAAATTTGTTTCTTGTCTTGCTACATTTGTTTCTTGTCGGTGTCTCTTGCTTCTGAATTTTTGCCAAGAAAAACCTTTGGCATGGTGCCAAAGTAGACAAAGGTTGGTGATAAGGCTGAAGGACTGTTTATGAAGGATTTGTTCTGGAATTAATTTGGACTAAGCTAAGAATGAAGTAATTCGCAGCTGTTCTATTAAAATATGTTTGTTTAGGACTGATTGTGTCTCGTAATAACTACTTGGGCCTAGGTCACAATATAGGATTACACACAAAAGTACTTCTGTGATCAAAACCGCCATCCGCTTCTCTTGTTTCTCCCGGCCAGGTTGCGCTCTGCTCCCGTGGCCATCCGATTTGTGACGAACACGACAAAGGAATGCAAGCAAGACTTGGTGGAGAGGCTGAAGAAACTTGAGTTTGACATTAAGGAAGATGAGATCTTCACGTCCCTGACGGCAGCCCGAAATTTGTTGGAGCAGAAAAAAGTCCGGCCTTTGTTGATGGTGGAGAAAAATGCTTTGCATGATTTTACAGGTATTTGATTGATTGATTGAGTGAATGAATTTATATTGCCGCCTATTCGTCCATGGCGACTCAAAGCGGCTTACAGAATATAAAACCACATTTAGAACAATAAAAACTAACAAAAAAGAGTCAAATAAATTAATATAGTACAATATAACAAAATGAAGGCATCCTAGTATAACTCTCCTGGCATAAATATAGAATTATATCAGCGGTGAAATCCAGCTGGATATATCCGGTTCGCGCGAACTGGTAGCGCCGGTGGCAGGAGGCTCCACCCACCTGCCGGGACGTCATTACGTTCCATTTTTGACCCTCTGCACATGCGCAGAGACATGCACGCTCACATACCCGAACCGGTAGCGAAGGTAAGTGCATTTCACCGCTGAATTATATCTATACATACAGACAAAGGATGTATGAATGATTTAACCATTGCTGTACTATAATGGGAGCCAGTTTAAGGCCACAGGCTGGTAGCCGGAAGACTGTCTTGGATTCGAAACCAGCTCGGTGCCAGGTGCCAAGCAACCGACTTTTGATCACGTGTCCATGGGGATGCTGCAACGGTCGTAAGGGTGAAAAAAAAAATTCAGATGATCGTCAACTGGTTCATATTTATGACGGTCGCTGTGCCCCAGGGTCCTGTGATCCCCTTTTGCGACCTTCCCACCAGCAAAATCAACGGGGAAGCCAGATTCACTTAACAACCATGTTTCTAACTTACCCACTGCGGTGATTCACAACAACTGTGGCAAGAAAGGTTGTAAAATGGGGCAAAACTCACTTAACAAATGTCTCACTTAAGGACAGAACTTTTGGGCTCAATTGAGGTCGTAAGTACCGGTATTTCAATGCTGAGGTGGTGGTTGTGATTTAGGAAAAAGTCTTAAGAGGGTTTTTCTGGCCTCTTCTTTCCATGATGATGGTTGTTTCGGTTGACTTCAGTTTCACACCAGAGTTGTGTATTTGCTAAGTACCGTATTATTCAGACTATAAGATGCACCAGAGTATAAAATGCACCCAGATTTTGAAGAGGAAAACAAGGAAAAAAATAGTTTTTCACCTCCACGCGTCCGGTTTCTGCCCTCCCCGGCCCCCAGGAGCACTCTACAGGCCTCCCAAACCCTCTGCGCATCCCATTCTTATAAAAAACGGGCCCATTTTTGGCCTCCCGAACCCCCCACACTTCCTGTTTTTGCCCTCCCCACCCCCCAGGAGCACTCTGCAGCAGTGATGAAATCCAATTTTTTTTGCTACCGGTTCTGTGGGCGTGGCTTGGTGGGCGTGGTGTGGCTTGGTGGGCGTGGCAGGGGAAGGATACTGCAAAATCCCCATTCCTCCCCATTCCTTGGGGAAGGATACTGCAAAATCCCCATTCCCTCTCCACTCCTGGGGGAAGGATACTGCAAAATCCCCATTCCCACCCCACTCCTTGGGGAAGGATACTGCAAAATCCCCATTCCCGCCCCACTCCTGGGCGAAGGATACTACAAAATCTCCATTCCCACCCCACTCTGGGGCCAGCCAGAGGTGGTATTTGCCAATTACCCGAACTACTCAAAATTTCCGCTACCGGTTCTCCAGAACCTGTCAGAACCTGCTGGATTTCACCCCTGCTCTGCAGGCCTCCCAAACCCTCTGCGTATCCTGTTTTCGCCAAAAACGGGCCCATTTTTGGCCTCCCGACCCCCCCCCCACGTCCTGTTTTTGCCCTCCCCAGCCCCCAGGAGCACTCTGCAGGCCTCCCAAACCCTTCACGCGTCCCGTTTTTGGCGAAAAGGGGATGCACGGAGTGGTTTCGGGAGGCCAAAAACAGGGCCGTATTCGGTCTATAAGACATACAGACATTTCCACCCACTTCTGAAAAATACGGTACTTCCTTCCAGTTTTGGCATATGTGGACAAGCTAACTAGGCCTCCCGTTCCATCTGGCCCCGGTCAGTGTACGACACTGAAACATCTTAATGTAAGGGAGATTTAAAAGTTTAGTTAAATCAGATTGTGTTTCCTGTCTTTAGATCAATTCTGTGTCAAATCCCATTGGGTCGTGACTCTTCCTTCTCTTCACCTAAAATGCTTTATGTGCATTTTTTGTGCGTGTCCGTCCAGTAGTTTTAAGTACGATGAAAGATGTTTAAGCCCCTGTTAGTAACTACTATGGAATTATTCTTGGATAATCTTCGTTTAAGATAGCTCGCAGTCAGATGAGCATAATCCTTTGCTTAATGGCGCCAGATGCTCCCAGGGAGCGTTACAAAGTAAGTCCAAGTAAATGCATAAAATCCACATTGGAGTATCTCTCATTGCTGCACTTCCATTTGTGCCTTTCGTAAGGACACCTTCTCTTTGAAAGAATATCCTGGGCCTAGAATTGCCCCGCAGGTTTAACTAAATTTCGCCTTGGGTCACATACTTCCTCGTGGAGAGCAGAATGGGGCTTAACCTTTCTATTTGCATTGATGGGTGAGTAGGACACCCATTCTCATTATTACGGTTTACTCAGTGGTGAAATCCAAATTTTTTTACTACCGGTACTGTGGGCGTGGCGGGGGTGGCGTGGCGGATGGGTATGGCAGGGGAAGGATACTGCAAAATCCCCATTCCCTCCCCATTCCCAGGGAAGGATACTGCAAAATCTCCATTCCCACCCCATTCCGGAGGAAGGATATTGCAAAACGCCCATTCCCTCCCCAGTCCTGGGGAAGGATACTGCAAAATCCCCATTCCCTCCCCACTCCTGGGAAAGGATACTGCAAAATCTCCATTCCCACCCCACTCCAGGGGAAGGATACTGCAAAATCTCCATTCCCACCCCACTCGGGGGCCAGCCAGAGGTGGTATTTGCCAGTTCTCCAAACTGCTCAAAATTTCCCCTACCGGTTCTCCAGAACCTGTCAGAACTTGCTGGATTTCACCCCTGGATTTACTCCACCTGAGCCCAGTGCTCTTGTAGGCACCAGGAGTTGAGCTTGACTTGAGGAAAGCTTTGTCTTTTTCTGCAACCAAGATGGTTAGGGGCCTGGAGGCTAAAACACATGAAGAACGGTTGCGGGAACTGGGTATGTCTAGTTTAATGAAGAGAAGGACTAGGGGAGACATGATAGCAGTCTTCCAATATCTCAGGCATTGCCACAAAGAAATGGGAGTCAAGCTATTCTCCAAGGCAGGGGGCTGGACTAGAAGACCTCCAAGGTCCCTTCCAGCTCTGTTATTCTATTCTATTCTATTCTATTCTATTCTATTCTATTCTATTCTATTCTATTCTATTCTATTCTATTATTCTATTCTTTTTTCAATTTTCAGATGCTAACAAATATATTGAATCTTTTTAAAAAATCCTATCTTCATTACTTTATAAATAACTCAAGGCAGTGAACATATCTAATATTCCTTCCTCCTCCTCCTATTTTCCCCACAACAACAATCCTATGAGGTGGGATGAGCTGAGAGAGTGATTGGTCTAAAGTCACCCATCCAGCTTTCATGCCTGAAGTGGAATTAGAACTCACAGTCTCCGGGTGGTTGGTCTAAAGTCACCCAGCCAGTTTTTGTGCCTAAGGTGGGACTAGAACTCACAGTCTTCTGGTGATTGGCCCAAAGTCACCCAGCCAGTTTTCATGCCTCTCAACCGGCTCAAGGTTGACTCAGCCTTCCATCCTTCCGAGGTGGGTAAAATGAGGACCCAGCTTGTTGGGGGCAACATGCTATTTAGTATACTGTCTCTGGTGTAAGCCGCCCAGAGTCCTCGGAGAGTGGGCGGCATAGAAAATATGAATAATAAAATAATAATAAAATAATAGAACTCACAGTCCCCTGGTGATTGGCCCAAAGTCACCCAGTCAGCTTTCATGCCTAAGGCGGGACTAGAACTCACAGTCTCCTGCTGATTGGCCCAAAGACACCCATCCAGCTTTCATGCCTGAAGCAGGACTAGAACTCATAGTTTCTGGGTGGTTGGTCTAAAGTCATCCAGCTGGCTTTTATTTGTCTAAGGTGGGCCTAGAACTCACAATCTCCGGGTGATTAGGCAAAGTCACCCAGGTGGCTTTTGGAAAGAGGAAAGCAAGCCCACCCAAGGGAACCCTTCCTCTGTAGGGACCTGGGTAGGACTGGTTTTAACAGATACTTGCATTTTCCTCTAGGCATAGACACCAGCGATCCGAATGCTGTAGTGGTTGGGTTGGCTCCTGACCAGTTCAACTATCAAACTATGAACAGAGCTTTCAGGTAAGCAGGAATAAATCCCTCCCTGCTTGAATTGTTGACGTGGGTACCTGCTCTCAGCTTGCTGGGTACTTGTTGTGGCCCGTCAGCGGCCTGTGCGGATTGTAGCTGATTCTGACAGTGAGGAGGCTGGTGTGGTGCTGCGCCAGCAGCCTGTGCAGCTGGCGCTCGAGTTGGACAATGAGGAGGCTGGAGAAGATGTGGTGCCAGAGGCGGGGATTCAGCCAGGGCCTTCAGAACCTCCAGAAGCTCCTTTAAGTGAAGAGGACGAAGAGGAGGAGCCTCTTCTTGATGCACGGGCGCGCAGAGCTGCCAAAAGGCAGGAGTGGCTCCTCAGGAGGAGGTCTCCTCGAGAGTAAGGCTTGGGGCTAATTAGCCACTCTCTTAGCCTATTTAAGGAGGAACGCCAACTGAAGCAATTTGCAGGGAACAACTTTAGTTCATTCTCCTTCACGTCTGGATTCTCTGCAAATTGCTTCTGGGCTTTCTGCCAACCTTAGTAAGATTGTGATTACTTTATCTTTGGTTTCTTGTAAGCTGTTAAGGAAGTTTATTAACAGCCTTTGTTTTGAAAAAGACTTGAGTTATTTTAGTAAATTAAGTTTTGTACAAACTGTGTGTGTGCTGTGTTCTTTGGGATCTGTAGCTGGGGCAGAACAGGACTACAGTGAGTTCTCATCCTGTCATATAGTGTTCTGATGCAACTCTTTTTGTGGATGGTTGCCGTTGAAATTCAGAATGGGATAAAACGGTGGCCAGATTGTCGGGGACAATATGCTGATATTGTAAACCGGCCAGAGAGTGGTGTAAAGCACTATGAAACACTATATAAGCCTAAGTGCTATTGCTATTCCTTCCTTCCTTCCTTCCTTCCTTCCTTCCTTCCTTCCTTCCTTCCTTCCTTCCTTCCTTCCTTCCGTCTTCCCTCCCTCCCTCCCTCCCTCCCTCCCTGGAGGCACAGTGGTGAAATCTAAAATTTGTTACTACCGGTTCTGTGGGCGTGGCTTGGTGGTCAGGGGTAATGTGACTGGGTGGGCGTGTCCAGTTTTTTTTTTTTTTTTTTTACTTTTAAAACCATTTTTTCTACAACCTCTTTGGTGAAAAAAAAATGCTTTCAAAAGGCTCTGAGGATCCCAGCTGACTTGCCTGATCGGCAGAGGCTTTCTTCCTTTTAAATGCCTCTGATGATCAGGCAACTCAGCTTGGATCGTCAGAGGCATTTAAAAGAAAAAAAAGGATTTTTTCTTTTAAATGCCTCTGACAATCAGGCAACTCAGCTGGGATCCTCAGAGGCTTTTAAAAGCATTTTTTCTGAAGAGGTTGTAGATAGTAGCTGATTCAGACAGTGAGGAGGCTGGTGTGGTGCTGCGCCAGCAGCCTGTGCAGCTGGCACTTGAGTCAGACAATGAGGAGGCTGGAGAAGATGTGGTGCCAGAGGCAGGGATTCAGCCAGGGCCTTCAGAACCTCCAGAAGCTCCTTTAAGTGAAGAGGACGAAGAGGAGGAGCCTCTTCTCGATGCACGGGCGGGCAGAGCTGCCAAAAGGCAGGAGTGGCTCCTCAGAAGGAGGTCTCCTCGAGAGTAAGGCTTGGGGCTAATTGGCCACTCCCTTAGCCTATTTAAGGAGGAACGCCGACTGAAGCAATTTGCAGGGAACAACTTCGTTCATTCTCCTTCGTGTCTTGTCTTGCTTATCTTATCAGCTTCCTGCAAATTGCTTCTGGGCATTCTGCCAACCATAGTAAGCTTTCAGTTATTATTCTTTGAATTCTTGGTGGCTGTTAATGCAGTTAATTAACAGCTGTTTGTAAAAGACTGGTTTAGTCAGTAAACTAAACATACTTTGTGTGTGCTGTGTTCTTTGGGGTCCATAGCTGGGGCAGAACAGAGCGGTATATAAATCTTAAGTGCCATTGCTATTTTCGAAGAATTCCCGCTGAATGTTCTCAGCTGCCTGATGCTTCTAGGGTTACGTTGCAGCTTTTGTCTCCTTCCTCTTCCAAGGTTGGTGCTGGACGGGGCTCCCCTCATAGCTATTCACAAGGCAAGGTACTACAAGAAGAAAGATGGCCTCGCCCTCGGCCCAGGACCCTTTGTGACCGGCCTGGAGTATGCCACTGACCAGAAGGCCACGGTGGTGGGGAAGCCAGAGCGGACATTTTTCCTGGAGGCCTTGTGTGGGACCAACTGTGGACCTGAGGAAGCCATCATGATTGGCGACGTGAGTCTTCTAGAATCCTTGCTTGTTTGTTTATTTAGACATTTATTGGATTTTTATAGCTGCCCTTCTCAGTAAGCGACCTGGGCGGTTTATAATTCAAAATACGGTATATACAGGCTTCTTAAAACCGTGATGGTGAACCTATGGCACACGTGGCATGCAGAGCCCTCTCTGTGGGGACGTGAGCCGTCACTCGGCTCAGCCCCACCGCGCATGCGCTCTTGTGCCTCCTGCCGACCAGCTGATTTTTGGGATGCGCAGGAGGTGGGGCGCATGCGGGAGATGCGTGCACATGCGCAGGGAGGACACGTGCGCATATGCAGGGGGATGCATGCGCAGGGGGTGGGGGTCACGCGCGCATGCATGGGGGGCACAGCGATGCCCCCCACAGCCCGTTATTGGACCCAGGAGGCTGCAGGGAGGCCTGCTAGGCCCAAAACGGGGAGCGGGGGGTGCAGTGCGCCCCCTCCCCCCCCGTGGCCCGTTTTTGGGCCGAGGAGGCTCCGGGGGACCCCAATGTAGCATGAGTTCAAACTCTTCAGTTGTTTTTTTATTATTTTACCACTTGGTTGCAGCATAGGAAAAATAGCACACGTTAAGGATTGTTATGAAACAAGAGTCTATTAAAAACACATCCCTATTTTTAAGGAGCTTTTACAACCTATTTGCGAGTTGCAGGTTTCTTTAAGAAATTTAAGAAGAGATAGGAGAATTTGTCTGAAATGGTGTAGGGTTTTCTGCCTAAACAGAGGGTGGACTAGAAGACCTTCAAGGTCCCTTCCAACTCCTATTCTATTCTATTCTATTCTATTCTATTCTATGCCATGCCATGCCATGCCATGCCATGCCATGCCATGCCATGCCATGCCATACTTTTCTCTCTTCTCTTCTCTTCTCTTCTCTTCCCTTCCCTTCCCTTCCCTTCCCTTCCCTTCCCTTCCCTTCCACTCCACTCCACTCCACTCCACTCCACTCCACTCCACTCCACTCCACTCCACTCCACTCTATTCTTATTCTTATTCTATTCTTTGCATTTCTTTTGCATTTGCAGGACTGCAGGGATGACGTCGGGGGTGCCCAGAACGCTGGCATGCTGGGAATACTGGTGAAGACCGGTACGTAATGATACTTGGGCCCTAAAAGAACTACACTTGAAACTAGGCTGATGTTTATTTCTATTCTGCCTTACGTAAAAAATCCACGAAAGAACATTTTTCCTTAGGAAGAAAAAGTGATAAGCGGGAAGATGCTCAGAGATTGATCTAGTCATGGATGAACTGCAGGGACACCCTTGAAAGGGATCTTGCTGATCATCTATACCTGTGATGGCAAACCTATGGCACACGTGCCAGAGGTGGCACACAGCGCCCTCTTTGATGGCACGCGAGCCATCGTCCCACTTCAGCTCTGCTGCACATGCACGCATGCCGCCTCCTGGCCAGCTGGTCTTCAGGTCTCTGCCACGTATGCGCATGGGGAGGGGGGCTGTACATGCCAGGGGGCGGGGTGCATGCAGGGGGCCGTGCTCGCATGCACAGGAGGCACACGGGGTCCACACTTGCATTGCATTTTGGGGGTACGGGCGGACTTTGGGCACTCAATCCGGAAAAGGATAGCCATCACCAACCTGTTTTTCAGCAACTTCGGTCAAGCTGCAGTTGTTCGTGTCGGGTTGCTTATAGTCATTTGCGGAACCAACATCCTACCTGTAACACCTTTCTTCTGTTCCTTCCTGGGTTAACCTTCTTCTGCAGATCTTTCCCACCTGAACTTAGCTATCCCTATAGAACAGGGGTGTCAAACTCGCAGCCCACGGGACGGATGCGTCCCGCGCTGACCACGCCCACCCACCGGTTTAGTGAAGGAGGAGAAAAAGTTGTGTCACATCATGTGACGACAACATGACCTCGCAAGTTTGACACCCCCTGTCAAGGTTCGAAGTCGCCTCAAAATAAATCGCATTTCAGCCAAATTCTTTATGAAAACCCATTCATTTATTAGCATGACATTCTGTTCCAAAACTCATTGTAGCCAGCAATGAGTTCCTGCTCCAAAACCCTTCCCTTCCTGGCTTGCTCTCCTGTTCTGATTGGCCATCTTCCAAGTCATTCTACTCCTATCTACTAACTAAGCTCACAGGAATTTCCCCCCCTCCCATCTCATCTCCTAGGGCAGTGATGGCTAACTTTTTTGCCATTGCGTGCCAAAAGTGGGGGGAGCGTGGTGGAGTCACACGCACGCGTGCCCACATCCATAATTCTGTGCGCCCCGCCCCCCTGTGCTCCCCCCGCTTTCGGCACGTGATGGCCCGTTGGGCACAGTAGGCCTGTTTCTTACTCTCCCCAGGCTCCAGAACCTTTCTAGGAGCCTGGGGAGGGCAAAAACGGCCTTCCCTCCCCAGAGGCCCTCCGGAGGCCGGAAACAGTGTGTTTCCTGAAGGCCCGAAAATCAGATGGCTGGCACATGCATGCGTGCCAGAGCTGAGCTCACGTGCCCACCGATATGGCTCCGCGTGCCACCTGTGGCACCCGTGCCATAGGTTCGCCATCATGGTCCTAGGGAATAATCTCTCCAGGGAATTAACTGGGTGAAGTGTCAAACGGTCTCTTGCCTTCTTCTCTATGTCAGTCCTGAACGAAGTGCAGCTTGAGGGGCTGACACCCCTGCTATAGAACAAGGAAGCCGTCTCATGGCTACTCAAGTAGTAGCTGAACGGCTGTTGCATTTACATCAGCGTTTTTCAACCTCAGCGACTTTAAGACGAGAGGACTTCAACTCCCAGAAGTCCCCATGCTGGCTGGGGAATTCTGAGAGTTGAAGTCCACCCGTCTTAAAGACAGTGAGGTTGAAAAACGCTGATCTAGATACTGTGTTTCCTCGAAAATACGACCTACTCAGAAAGTAAGTCCTAGCTTGATTTGTACATATGTGCCCAATATAAGCCCTACCCCCCCAAATAAGCCCTAATTAAGGCCTGCCCACTCCAGGATGCACAGGTAAAAACTAAACTAGGGTGGAGAAGTGGGGGAGGGAGTTAGAGCTGCCCTACTACTTACCTTCGGAGAGTTGCAGCCAGGGTGAAATGTAAAATTTGTTACTGCCGGTTCTGTGGGCGTGGCTTGGTGGGGGGGTAATGTGACTGGCTGGGCGTGGCCAAGATGTTTTTTCTTTTAACTTTTCAAAGCATTTTTTCTAATGCTTTGAAAAGCCTCTGCCGATCAGGCAACTCAGCTGGGATCATCAGAGACTTTTCAAAGCATTTTTTTTACCACCTCTTCAGCCAAGAAGTTGTAGAAAAAAATGCTTTGAAAAGCCTCTGAGGATCCCAGCTGAGTCACACGATCATCAGAGGCTTTTTTTTTTACTTTTAAAGCATTTTTTCGTCGATGTGCACCCAATGTAAGCCCTACCCCCCCCCAAATAAGCCCTAATTAAGACCCTGCCCACTCCAGGATGCACAGGTAAAAACTAAACTAGGGTGGAGAAAGGGGGGAGGGAGTTAGAGCTGCCCTACTACTTACCTTCGGAGAGTTGCAGCCAGGGGTGAAAACAAGCCTCTGATGATTGTGCGGCTCAGCTGAGCATGGGGGAGGAGGCACAGGGATTTTTGCTACCGGTTCTCCAAACCACCCGCCGCCATCGCTACCGGATCAGGTGATCCGGTCCTAACCAGGAGCATTTCACCCCTGGTTGCAGCCAGGCCTCGCACACCTTAGTCCGTTTTTTTTTCTACAGCCGGCAAGGCTTTCCTTAAGGCTTTTGTAGCTGATAACAGGGCTCTGGACTGATCCGGAGCTCTGTTATCTGCTACAGATTTTTGCAGAAGGCTGACCGTCAGAGATATAATTAAATCACAGAAAAGTAATGAGAACACACGTCATCTATTGTTTAACAGGATGAGGCCCCAGTTCCTTGGTCAGTAAATAGAGCCGTCCATGCCCACTGGATTACTTTTACAAAGCTGAATGCACCGGTTGAGAACATTGGAAAATAGCGGACACGAATAGGGCTGCAGAAGTTTGCGGTGCCAGCTCTGATCTCTGGCAAAGTTTGAGGCAAATTCTGACCTAATTACAGAACGTAATTCATTTATTTCTGGTTTTGTCATTGCAGGGAAATACCGAGATGCCGACGAAGGCAAAATTAACCCACCCCCCTACTTAACCTGCGAGAGCTTTCCCCATGCCGTGGAACACATCCTCCAGCATCTGCTCTGAAGAAGCACCGCAACTTTTGAATGTCATCTTCCGGTGCCACAAAATGAAATGGCCCACAGCATCCTTTGCAGAGCGTTCGGATTTTCTTGGTGCATTGTCGCTGGACTCCACCCTTTTGGGGACTGTGATGGAATGAATGTTCTCACCGTAATCATTGCTTCCCACACCCCAAAAAGTTATCCTGTCCAACAGGACTCTGTGTCCAACCTTCCCGTCTTGCCTTGCTCGGTTCCCGGAGGCAGAGGGGGGAATTTGTGAGGTTGAATAAAGAAGGAAATATGCGATTCAGCCTTATAGAGCCTCAGTTGCGCAGTGATTAGAACGCAGTACTGCAGGCTACCTCTGTTGACTGCCGGCTGCCTGCAATTTGGCAGTTCAAATCTCACCAGGCTCAAGGTTGACTCAACCTTCCATCCGTCCAAGGTGGGTAAAATGAGGACCCAAATTGTTGGGGGCAATAGGCTGACTCTGTAAACCGCTTAGAGAAGGCTGTGAAGCACTATGACGCGGTATATAAGTCTTAAGTGCTATTGCTACATACCGCTTAGAATCACCTTGAAACGCAAGTTGGATGGCAAATAAATTGGATAATAATATACATTAGATTGGCCTGTGGAATCGGTCTGTTATTGCACGACTGTCCATCTTCATGGAAAGGAGAAGTAGTGCACCTGATGCCCAGAACTTACTAACACACCAGAGGTGGGTTTCAGCAGGTTCTGACCAGTTCTGGAGAACCGGTAGTGGAAATTTTGAGTAGTTCAGAGAACCGGTAAATACCACCTCTGACTGGCCCCGCCCCCATCTATTCTCTGCCTCCCGAGTTCTAGCTGATCAGGAGGAAATGGGGATTTTGCAGTAACCTTCCCCTGAAGTGGGGAGGGAATGGAGATGTTATAGTATCCTTCCCCTGCCACCCCCACCAAGCCATGCCACACCCATCAAGCCACTCCCACAGAACCGGTAGTAAAAAATTTTGAATCCCACCACTGTTACACACCTAATATACAGGTAGGCTCACCTACCTCTCCCCAGTGATGCATTAACCTGGCCATTTTTTAATATTTAACATCTTATATAGCAGGAAATGGGCACATTTTTAAGGTTCTTCCGCAGGCAAAGACTGTTGGCATCTTTCCAAGTGGGCTGCTTTAATGAATAGGTCCCTCCAAGCTAGGGAGTTTTATGTACAATAAGGTCTGGAAATAAATTTTGCCTGGCTTCTAATGACAAGTAGGTGAGAACTCATTTTAAAAGGGATTATTTCAGAAACTAAAAGGAGGAGTAGAGAGGTTGACACGATCTTGCTGGTTTTATCAGGTCTCTGAATGTGTTTTTTTTTTTTCTTTTTTTTGCCGGAAAACATTTAACTTCCAGTTCTCTGCAAAAAAAACCACCCACCACAGACAATGATGGCAGCTTTCACTTAATGACCACTACTCAAAATTTAATAAAATTCAGCTGGCTAGGTGGGTGTCTCGACTTAGGACCACCACGACATACGATGGAAATTCCAGACTTGTGTTATGGACATGAAGTCGAGGACTAGCTGTAAAAGAAAGAACTACCATGTTTCTGCGAAAATAAGACCGGGTATTATATTATTTTTTGCTCCAAAAGATGCATTAGGGCTTATTTTCTGGTTAGGTCTTATTTTGGGGAAAATACGGTACTAAATGCACCCATCTGGCTAACAATCTTAACGGGTTTATTTTGGGGGTAGGGCTTATATTACGAGCATCCTGAAAAATCATGCTAGGACTTATTTTCCTGTTGGGTCTTATTTTTGGAGAACCGGTAGTCTTTCATGTCCAGTGTTTTTTTATCCATAAAATAGGATTGGCAAGTGTGCAGCTACGTTGACAATACAAATTCAGAAGAGCTGAATATGTGGGTTAGCCTGAAGAACCTGGATTAATTCTTTGGTTCCTGATAAAGCTGTGTCCAACCAAGCATGTTTTCACTTCAAAAGAACAAAGGAAATATATTCTCTTCTCCAGTAAGACCCTAAGACACAAGAACTTTTCCACACGTTATTGTCATAAATCCTTCCTTCCCAATTTAAACCAGCTGAGCTGCATCAGTGATGCTTCATTTAGAGTGGGCTGCCGTAATCATATTCCTGGCTAAACTTCTGTTAATCTTTAAAGCTTCAGGCCTGTTTTTGAGGTAGCAAGTAAAGAGTAAACTGCTACTTGCGATCTGCAGATGTTTTAATTAGTCCTATTAACTTATTATAATTTTGCAGATAGGAACTGCAGCCAAGAAATTAAAAGACGCTTGCTCCTGGGGAGGAAAGCTATAGCAAATCTAGACAGCGGACTAAAAAGCAGAGACAACAAAAGTGCGTATAGTCAAGGCTATGGTTTTCCCAGTTGCAATGGATGGCTGTGAAAGTTGGGCCATAAGGAAGGCTGAGCGCCAAAGAATGGAAGCCTTTGAACTCTGGTGCTGGAGAAGACTCCTGCGAGTCCCTTGGACTGCAAGGCCATCAAACCGGTCGGTCCTAGAGGAGATCAACCCTGACTGCTCTTCAGAAGGCCAGATCCTGAAGAGGAAACTCAAATACTTTGGCCACCTAATGAGAAGGAAGGACTCACTGGAGAAGAGCCTAATGCTGGGAACGATGGAGGGCAAAAGAAGAAGGGGACAACAGAGAAAGAGGTGGCTGGATGGAGTCACTGAAGCAGTCGGCGTGAGCTTAAATGGACTCCAGAAGATAGTAGAGGACAGGAAGGCCTGGAGGAATGTTGTCCATGGGGTCGCAATGGGTCAGACACGTGTCCAGGGGTGGGCTTCAAAAATTTTAGCAAGGGGTTCTCTGCCTGGGTGCTGGGTAGGTGTGGCCTAGTCAGCCTCCTACACCACGGGGGGGGGCATTTTTACAGTCCTTGGGCTCCGGTGGCTTTCCTCGAGCCTCCGGGAGGGTGAAAATGGCCTCCCCAGGCTCCAGAGGCCCCCTGAAGGCCGAAAACGGGGCCATTTCCGGCCTTCCCAAACTTCCAGTAGGCCCATTTTTTTGCCCTGAGCCTCCGCGCACGCCCCGCACTTACCTGCATCCAAAATGGGCTTCATGGGGACTCCTGGGAGGGGTGGGGCTGGGTGGGAGGGGCCAGCCAGGAGTGGAATTTGGGGGTTCTCCAAACTGCACAGAATCTTAGCTAGAGGTTCTCCGTGAACCCCCAGCACGGAGGTTACCAGTTCGCCTGATCTGGGGTGAACTGGTAGCAACCCACCACTAACTCTAACCCTAACCCTAACCCACCACTGAACTTAATGTGTAGCACATGGTCATCCAAGGACAAGCCCACATTCCGCACACACAGCATCGCTGGTGAAATTGAAATTACTTGTATTTATTAATTGTTCTGTTCAGCAGTAACTCAATACTGTCTGTCTTGTATTTGAGTCTCATTGTATGTATCTCTATTTTCTATTTTCACCACATCTTGTTCTTTCAATAAAGCATTCAGATCTACCCACATGGCAGGGGTGAAATGCTCCTGGTTCGGACCGGATCGTCTGATCCGGTAGCGATGGAGGCGGGTGGTTCGGAGAACCGGTAGCAAAAATCCCTGCCCCCCCCATGCCCAGCTGAGCCGCACAATCATCAGAGGCTTTTTTTTTTTTTACTTTTAAAAGCATTTTTTCTACAACCTCTTCGGCTGAAAAAATGCTTTTAAAAGTAAAAAAAAAAAGGCTCAGATGATCGCGCGGCTCAGCTGGGATCATCAAAGGCTTTTAAAAGAAAAAAACCCTTTTATATATACTTTCTAAGTGTCTTCTCTAATAGAATAAAAATATTGAAAGTGTCTATTTTCAAAGGTGCTTTTTCAAGAGATGCCTAGACTTTCTGGTTTTTCTTTGAAGACATTTCGCTTCTCATCGAAGAAGCTTCTTCAGCTTCTGTAGAGCTGAGGAAGCTTCTTGGGTGAGAAGCAAAACACCTTCAAAGAAAAACCAGAAAGTCCAGCTGCCTCTTGAAAAAGCACCTTTGGGACAACCATGACTTGGATGACTGAGAATCTCCATAGACATTTGTCAGTCTTCAGATGACCAAGGGAAGAGAGAGGAGTCCTATTGGTCACTGTAAGAAAGCCTCTAAAAGACATCTCTGAGACTCCAAAGTGGTTTATTCTTCAAAGACAGTCTTCAAAATCTACTGGTTTAATGCAAGGATGCCCGAGGAGGCCCAATTAATGTCTTACTTTATCACTTCCTACTATCTGGTCCCACTAAGGAAGAAAAGTATAGCAGCAAATATTAAGTCAGCAAAACGGATCCCAAAAGTCTTCTAGGTGACACAGAAATACAAATGGACGGTCATGTTTAATTACAAAAATTAAAAATGGCAAAAGTGCTAAAATGTTTTTTTTCCGCCTTGTGTATGAGTCTAAAGCTATCGGATGAAAAAGCTAGAACCAGGTTTCTCCAAATAACAATTTACGGCCTCTTCTCCATCATCGAAACTCAGCATCCAGCTTGGAAAGCAATAAGTTTCTTCTCCTCTCTGTTTTTGTTTTTTTAAAAAATAAACTCTTCAGAAATGTGTTGTGTGGGGTGGAGGAAGCTGGAAATGTGGATGATTGTTCCAGATCTTCAATTAGGCTCAAACCGACTCAAATTCTCTTTGCCAGTCAACGTATCTTTGACTTAGGTTTTTAGCAGAAGGCTTGGTATGAGAAATACATCCAGGAAGTCTTCGGTTGTGACCGTGTCCAGGTGGATCACCGGTAAGTTTCCACTGTCTGAAGAAAGAAGATCTCCAATTAGAAGTTGAAACGTCATCCAAAATCGGTCCACCGATGGTCAAGGAACAACTCTGATCTCCTCTTGAATGGCATGTAACCCAAAAGATGATGAGATGGCAATAGTACTTAAGACTTATATACCGCTTCAGAGTGCTTTTACAGCCCTCTCTAAGTGGTTTACAGAGTCAGCCTACTGCCTCCAACAATCTGGGTCCTCATTTTACCCACCTCGGAAGGATGGAAGTTTGAGACGACCTTGAGCCTGGTGAGATTTAAACTGCCAAATTGCAGGCAGCCGGCAGCCAGCAGAAGTAGCCTGCAGTACTGCACTCTAACCATTGCGCCACCACCATTGCGGCTCATAAAATAATAGAGTAAGATCATAGAGATCATAGAAGGGATGCCTCTAAATGACACCTTCATACCTTGAGTCTTGTTCCAGCTCCCCCAGCTTATTCTGCTAATTTATTCTCAGTCTGTGAGAGTAACATTATATTTCTATCTCATTCCCCAAATTGGTACCTTCCAATCAGAGCTGGATTTCACATAATTTTACCACTGGTTCGCTGAGCATTGAAAATGTTCCGCGTATGCGCGTGGCCTTCCACGCTTGTGTTTGCTCACGCGCACGGCAGGGTGGGTTCTAAATTTTTTTTACTATCGGTTCTGCAGGCGTGGCTTATTTTGTGGGTGTGGCTTAGAGGTCATGTGACTAGGTGGGCGTGGCTAGCTGGTCAGAGTCATTTCTGGAAGGTCCTCGCACTTACGACCAGCCCTCACACCTATGACCCGACTCATTTGTTTGCTTTTAACACTGATCAGCTGTAGGGCGGCCCTTTGAAGTCCCGCGGCAAGAGTTTATACAGTTTTTTTCCCTCTAGTCATCAGCTGGGACTCAGGAGGCAGCAATAGATTGGGGGTGGGACCAAATAAAAGGTAAGAATAACGTGGGGGGTGGGGGGGGCGGGGGGGGGAGAACCAGTTTGGTGACATCATATCGTCACCACTACCGGCTCGGCCAAACCAGACTGAACCGGGAGGAACCCACCACTGGCGCACGGCTTGCATGCATGCACACAGCTTAGATAACATGGCTGAATAGGACGGCATAGCACCGGGGCTGGTGAGCACCCACAGGTCACCAATACCCATACGCCTGAACCGGCTGAATACCACCACTGCTTCCAATGTGTGCTAGCCAGAGGTGGGTTTTAACAGGTTCTTACCAGTTCTGGAGAACTGGTAGTGGAAATTTTGAGTAGTTCGTAGAACTGGCAAATACCATCTCTGGCTGGCCCCGCCCCTGATCTATTCACTGCCTCCCGAGTCCCAGCTGATCGGCTGGGTCTTCTTTTGTTGCCCTGCACAGGAGAACTGGGCTGGAAAGCAGGTTAGTGGGGTGGGGAGGGAATGGGGATTTTACAGTATCCTGCACCTGGAATGGGGTGGAAATGGAGATTTTACAGTATCCTTTCCCCTGGAGTGGGGTGGAAATGGAGATTTTAACAGTATCCTTTCCCTGCCACGCCCACCAAGCCACACCCACAGAACCAGTAGTAAAAAATTTTGAAACCCACCACTGGTGCTAGCTATTGCTCTACTGCAAGGTTTTTTGTTGTTGTTGTTGTTGTTGTTTTTAATTTGATTTTATATGCTGCCCTTCCTCGCGAGACTCAGGGCGCTTACAGTGCGTTAAGCAATAGCCTTCATCCTTTTTATATTTATACACAAATCCTTTATTGCCCCCCCAACTGGGTCCTCAATTTACCAACCTTAGAAAGGATGGAAGGCTGAGTCAACAACCTTGAGTTGGAGAGTTCGAACCTGCAGTAATTGCAGGCAGCTGGTCTTAATAACCAGCTTAATAACAGGGTGCGTAGGTTTTGCGTAGTTGCAGTCCCAAACTCATCCAGAATACCACACGAAGGGTTGGACTGGAAGACCTCCAAGGTCTCTTCTGGCTCTAGAATTCCACAAATAGTCCTCGACTTACAACAATTCGTTTAGTGACCAACCGTGTTACCCACTGAACAACCGCAGTGATTCACTTAACAATTGTGGCAGGAAAGGCTGTAAAAGGGGGGGGAACTCACTTAGCAATTGTCTCACTTAGCAACAGAAATTTTGGGCTCGATTGCGGTCGTAAGTTGAGGACTACTTGTATGATCTTAGAGAGTTTTATATCAGTGGCAAAATGGGAAGGGAGTTCACAAATCCTAAAAAAAAACCTGAATTGGAAACAAACAGAATGCTGCCACCTGCTGGTACAGATTTATAATGCATCGTTTACCTTTGTATGCTTCCTAGCTTCCCTGCTTGCTTAACCCAGAGCACCTGTTCAGCTCGAACACCCAAGAGACTGTTGCAGTACCTGGCTGATGATTTTCAAGAGCGCTGAAGATTTTTCTCACAGGGCGCATGGCTGCCTCTTTGCAAACCAACTTAATGTCAGAACCCGAGTAGCCTTCCGTCTCCTAATACACAAACAGAAAGGTGTGCTCACATCTGCAGAGGTTCCCCATTGTAGGTAGCTGCCAAGCTACTATTTAGATTAAGAAAGGATGGAGAGGAAAAAAAGTTATGGGGACCGTGTCAGCTTGGAAGCCATCTTTTCTGCATTGGGCCTTCAGGCCTGCCATATTTACGACTGTGGGAAACTGGGAGGGGGGATTGTATGGAGCCAGGGTGATATGTAGTCATAATAACATTCCTTTCTCAAAGAGTCAAGGACATCGTGCCCTGCACTTGGAGGGCTGGAACTGGGAGGCATCTCCAGTTGGGATGATGCATTGATGACCATGTGATGGACATATGGGTGCAGGGGAAGGGACTTGGGCTTTCCTTTGGGTGGGGAAAACCTGGAAGCTTTCAGATTCGGGTTTTCCCCAGATGCGCCAATATGACATCTCTAATAAAATGGAACTTTGAGGAACTTCAAGCCTTGGAGTCTTCTTTCACTGGGGGTGTTAGTTAGAACCCTGACAGGCGGTTTCTACATCGGGACACTTCTGATACAACCCAAAAGGTCTCCTGAGCACATGAATCATATGTCTCCTGAGTCTTATGGATCCTATTATGGTGGACAAGAGGTTAGTGACGAGTTTGTTTGCCACCAGAAGAGCATCAAGGTAACATTACAAGATCTACATGGATCAGACCAGTGGCCTATCCCATTCCCCATCTTGGCTGAAGGCCACCCAAGATGCCTTCAGGAAGACTTCAAAGCCCTGTGCCCAGGGATGAAATGCTCCCGGTTCGGACTGGATTGCCTGATCCGGTAGCGATGGAGGCGGGTGGTTCGGAGAACCGGTAGCAAAAATCCCTTCCCCCCACCCCATGCCCAGCTGAGCCGCACAATCATCAGAGGCTTTTTTTTAATTTTTACTTTTAAAATCATTTTTTTCTATAACCTCTTCCGACGAAAAAATGCTTTTAAAAGTAAAAAAAAAAGCCTCTGATGATCGTGCGGCTCAGCTGGGATCGTCAGAGGCTTTTCAAAGCATTTTTTTCTGCAACCACTTCGGCCGAAGCAGTGGTAAAAAAAAATGCTTTGAAAAGCCTCTCTGACGATCCCAGCTGAATTGCCTGATTGATCGTCAGAGAGGCTTTTCAAAGCATTTTTTGCAACCTCTTCGGCCAAAGAGGTTGTAGAAAAAATGCTCTGAAAAGTTAAAAAAAAAAAAAGTTGGCCACGCCCACCCAGTCACATTAACCGTCCCCACCAAGCCACACCCACAGAACTGGTATTAACAAATTTTAAATTTCACCCCTGCCTGTGCCCTTTTTCCCAGCAGTCTGTAATTAATTACTCCTAGAAGTTAGTGTCCCACCAAACCATCAAGACTAACTGCCAATAAGCATTCCATCCTCCATAACAGTGTTTTTCAACTTTGACAAGATGATGTCAAGATGATGATGATGATGATGATGATATCCGATATAGACATATCCGACGCTTGGCGATTCTATGGGCCAGATCTCTCCACATCTTCTGATCTTGCACTACTTCTCTGAGTTGTTCTATGCTTTGACTGGTGTCAACTTTGATGGTGTCCAGCTACCGTGTTCTTTGGCGGCCTGGTTACTTATATATATGTGAATGGAATGGAACGGAACAGAAAAGAAAATATGTTATGTTATGTTATGTTATGTTATGTTATGTTATGTTATGTTGTGTTGTGTTGTGTTGTGTTGTGTTGTGTTGTGTTGTGTTGTGTGGCGTGGCGTGGCGTGGCGTGGCGTGGCGTGGCATGGTGTGGCGTGTGTGGTGTGGAGTGGAATGGGAATGGAATGGAAATAAATAGAAAGGAAAGGAAAGGAGTGGAGTGGAGTGGAGTGGAGTGGAGTGGAGTGGAGTGGAGTGGAGTGGAGTAGAGTAGAGTAGAGTAGAGTAGAGTAGAGTAGAGTAGAGTAGAATAGAATAGAATAGAATAGAACAGAATTATTAGAATTAGAATTAGAATTATTAGAATTAGAATTAGAATTAGAATTAGAATTAGAATTAGAATGGAACGGAACTTCTTTATTGGCCAAGCGCGACTGGACACACAAGGAATTCATTTCCTGTGCAAGCTCTCAGTGTACATAGGGACAACAAAATGATAAGCCATATATCCTAAATCATAAGATAAAATCATAACTCATAAGATGTGAACATCAAAGTGATAAATCATAAGATACCAAAAGGAGAAGATAATAGGGAAGATGAGAAGGTGAGACAGATGAGAAGATGAGATAGAGACAGATATAGGGAGAAAGATATGTGGACTTCAACTCCCAGAATTCTCCAGCCAGTTATGCTATGCTGGCTAAGGAATCCTGGGAGTTGAAGTCCACTCATCTTAAAGTTGCCAAAGTTGAGAAACACTGCTCTATAGATTCCTTGACTCCTCTATAAAGGTCATTCATAAGAACCCTTGACCACGTGGGTGGGCTACCTCCTCACCTGACTGAGCAAATTATAATCCAGCTCCGTCCTCAGCTCCACTCCTCCACTGTTGCTCACTGGGGGAAGCCAATGTTGGATCATGGCTTGCCGGGCCTCTTGATTTGGGAGGTCGACCAGAATCCTCTTCTCCAGTCGGCGCAGCATGGCGTAATCCAGTTCCCTAGGAGAGAATAGGGATGGCAGATCCTTGGACACTGTTCTATTAGCGAGAGGATCTCAGGACGCTTCCCTCAAGGATAAGCGGTAAAAAGATTCCTTAAGAGGCACCAAAACTAAAGAAGGATCAGAGCCACCCAGACCAGAACTGAACCAGTAAAGACAAAGCTTGATCATATGTACAAATAGGGATTCAAATAATTTAACAACTGGTTCTCTGCTCTCATGACTGGCTGGGTGGGCGTTGCCATGGTGGGCGTGGCCAGGGTGTGTGACAGGCAGCACTTGGCCTCCTGCACCCCCCGGGAGCAAAAACGGGCTGCGGGGGTGGGGGGGGGAATGCACCGCCCTCCCCGTGCCCCGTTTTGGGCCTAGTAGGCCTCCCTGGACTTACCTGGAAGCCAAAATGGGGCATGTGGGAACTCCTGGAAGGGGCGGGGCCAGCCAGCAATTTAACTACCGGTTCGCCTGAACTGGCCCGAACCGGCTGAATCCCACCACTGAATAAACCATCAGGTGTCAGCCCTGGAGCCATTTTCCTTGGCATCTTCAGGGCTGCCACAGTGGTGGCTGGGCGAGCTGTGGGAATGGGAGTGGGGAGGTAGAGATAGCGAGGGCTTTCCTCCGAGAGCCAAGGACGTTCTCACCAGGTGTGAGGAGGCGGGACGTGAGTCCGGATGAACTTTGGGTTGTGACCTGATTGGGCCATGTGATGGTCTGCATGGGCAGGAGGAGAGAAAGTATATATTTTAACTAGGGGGAAACCCAGGTGGGGGGGGTTAGAATCGCCTTTCCCCAGATGTGCCAATATGACATGCCTCATAAAGCTGTACTTTGAGGCATATGCCTGCCTTGGAGTTTTGATTCGGTTGGGGGTGTTATTTGGAATCCTGACATCAGGGTGAACCCACTAAAGATGAGTTTTAAGGTTATGCACGATGCTTTACAATACAGTTAGTTCTTCCTCTCTGTTTTCAGTCGTCAGGTGTGGAGTTGTTACATGCTGAAAGTGTGCGGTAGCTAGAGCAGGGAAGCAGGCCCTAGGTTCTGCCTCAGTTTACCTTCCCAATAAGCAACTGAGTTGGAAGATCATTTAAAAGCAGCTTATTAGGGTACCCTGATAAAGTGGGATCTCTAACATCAGTCTACAAAGCCTTAGTAAGACCACACCTAGAATACTGCATCCAGTTTTGGTCACCACACTATAAAAAAGATGTTGAGACTCTAGAAAGAGTGCAGGGGAGAGCAACCAGGATGATTAGGGGCCTGGAGGCTAAAACATACGATGAATGTTTTGCAGGAACATTCTGCATACGGTTGCAGGAACTGGGCATGGACTAGTCTAGTGAAGAGAAGGACCAGGGAAGACATGAGAGCAGTCTTCCAATATTTGAGGGGCTGCCACAGAGAGGAGGGGGTCAACCTATTTTCCAAAGAACCTGAAGGCCAGACAAGGAATAAGGGATGAAAACTAACCAAGGAGAGATTCAACCTAGAAATAAGGAAAAATTATCTGACAGTGAGAACAATCAACCCATGGAACAGAAGTTGCCTTCAGAAGTTGTGGGAGCTTCATCACTGGAGGCTTTCAAGAATTTATTTTATTTATTATTTATTAATTTTATTTCTATACCGCCCTTCTCCCGAAGGACTCAGGGCGGTGTACAGCCTGATTAAAAGCACAAAGACAGACAAAATTTAAAAATAATTAAAATTATTAAATGATAGGCTCAATTTAAACCCCAAATTTTAAATCCCATTTTTAAAAACCCGATTAAAATCTTTACCTTGATAGCCCAGCCTGGCGGAACAACAAGGTTTTGAGGGCACAGCGAAATACACGGAGATCAGAGATTTTACGAATTTCTTGGGGCAGCTCATTCCAAAGGGCAGGGGCTCCCACAGAGAAGGCCCTCCCCCTGGGTGTCGCCAGCTGACATAATTTGGCCGATGGCACCCTGAAGAGACCCTCTCTATGGGAGCGGACTGGCCGGTGGGAGGCTACTGGTGGCAGAAGATGGTCTCGAAGAAGAGGCTGGACTGCCATTTATCAGAAATGGTGTAGGGTCTTCTGCTTGGACAGTGGGTTGGACTAGATGACCTACAAAGTCCCTTCCAATTCTGTTAATCTGTAAACCTCAAGCCCCATGTTTCACTCCTTTTATATAGTTAACACAACAAACAAAATGCAAGAGGAAAGTTGTTTGGACAGGGTAAAAGTAACCTCCCCTTTGCATAGGCAATTCCTTACATGTAGTCATCAAACATGTTACATATTTGCATCCCATAAGATCACACATGTTCATTAAAATGAGCTCTGATGTCAGAAAGGGCGTAAATCGTAAGGAAAAAAAGTTGTTTGGACTTCACCAAAGAGAGAAGCCAGACCCCAATTTGTACTAACAAACTTTTTCTTCTCCAGCGTGTTTTATCAGTTTAGGAATGTTAAAAGCTAATAAACCTGAACATCATTTTAAAAGAGAGAAAAATAAATCAAATTAAAATACGAAGTAACTATGTTAGTTAACGAAATTACAAAACCCATGTCATTTGATATTACTTTCTGTCAATTCACACAGATCTCAGGAATAATACAGCCCACTGCAGGGAAAGTCTTTTGCGCTGTGATTCTGAAAACAAGGATTTGGGGCAGAGGTGGGTTTCCCATAATTTTTACCACCGGTTTCGCCGCACACCAAAAATGTGAGCGCGCCTTCTGCACATGCACCCGGCCTTCTGCGCATGTCCTTTGCTCGCCCATGCAGCTTACATGCAGTGGTGGGTTCCTCCCGGTTCAGTCCGGTTCGGCAGAGCCGGTAGCGGTGACAATATGACGTCACCAAACCGGTTCTCCCCCCCTCGCCCTCCCACCCCACCCACCCACCCACGTTATTCTTACCTTTTATTTGGTCCCACCCCAATCTATTGCTGCCTCCTGAGTCCCAGCTGATGACTAGAGGAAAAAAAAACTGTTTAAACTCTTGCCGCGGGGCTTCAAAGGGCCGCCCTACAGCTGATCAGTGTTAAAAGCAAAGAAATGAGTCAGGTCGTAAGTGCGAGGACTGGCCGTAAGTGCGAGGACCTTCCAGAAATGACTCTGACCAGCTAGCCACGCCCACCTAGTCACATGACCTCCAAGCCCACACCCACAAAATAAGCCACGCCCACAGAACCGGTAGTAAAAAAATTTAGAACCCACCCCTGCTTACATGCATTCGCACAGTTTAGAAAGCATGGCTAAATAGGACGGCATAGCATTGGGGTGGGGGGGGGGGCGGGCCTACCAGCAGGTCGTCACTACTGCTTCGTCCGAACCGGTCTGAACCGGCTAAATACCACCACTGATTTGGGGTCATTTCCGCCTTTGTTACTTTTGTACAAAAAACGTGGTTTTTTTTTTTTTTCTATTCTATTGCAGCCCCGCTTTGATCCCAACTGGATTTTCATGTTACAAAAAAAAAAAAGGAAGGATTTTCATCCTGAAACTTTAGCGCGTATAATTCCAATAAAACCCAACTCTCCCTATTTTTAGAGAACATATTTTTCTAAGCGGCGGATGATTTAAGCACCTTAAAGAGTTTCTCCGCGGAGAATGCTTCTTTAGCTTAACTATAGTAAATAACTTGGCCATCGAGTTGCCTTTTAAATATTAGCAGCTGGCTTGCTCTGGCATCTGCTGATCTTCTGAAGGATTATGTACTTTCTGGTGCAAACAGCAAGAACCGAAGCAGAAGCAAAACATCAGCAATAATAATAATAACAACAAAGAAGCTCAAACCTCCCAATTAATCTTGGAAGGCTTTAGCCAAATATCATGGCTTTTACTGCTCCGGGTAAGTAAAATCTTTATCTGTGTTTAGAGGCTCATGCAGATGTATTCAAAGCATATTCTCTGGCTCTCTTACCAGGGCAAGTTGGAAGCTGCTAAAACAAAGACAAGATCATCTGAGCGAGCCAAACCGTCCATCTGCACCAATAATTCTGTTTTCATCCGCCGGCTCCCTTCGTGTTCACCACTGTCAAGATATTGAGGGCAGGAGAAAAGAGGAACGATTATTCCTGGGCACGGGAGAAGCTTCCCCGTTAAAGGTAGACCTCGACTTATAACAATTTGCTTAGTGACTGTTCAAAGTTACAATGGCCCTGAAAAAAGGGACTTATGGCTGTTTTCCACACTTATAACCGTTGCAGCAACTCTATAGTCACGTAACCTGGAATTAAGGAGAAACTTCCTAGCAGGGAGGACAATTAACCAGTGGAACAACTTGCCTTCAGAAGTTGTGGGTGCTCAACCATCACTGGAAGTTTTTAAGAGGAGATTGGACAAGCATTTCTCTGAAATGGTATAAGGTCTCCTGCTTGAGCAGGCGGTTGGATGAGAAGACCTCTAAGGTCCCTTCCATCACTATTCTGATTGAAAGCAAATTGATGGTAGATAAGAGTCCATGGAAATCAAGGGGGGTTGGATTTAGATCTCTTCTGGGTGCAAGGGAACTCGAGACTGATGATGGTTTCTTGGAAGTATCCCAGAAGATAGCAATAGCTGATAAGTGGCTTCATGCAAAGCCTCCATTTCTTTAGCCACAGTTTGTTGTCAAGCAATATCAACATAACGTTTTGGACTACATAGGGCAAATGACACAAAGCTCTATGTTGGAACCAAACAAGTCCCACCTGTGAGAGAATAGAATAGAATAGAATAGAATAGAATAGAATAGAATAGAATAGAATAGAATTCTTTATTGGCCAAGTGTGATTGGACACACAAGGAATTTGTCTTGGTGCATATGCTCTCAGTATACATTAAAAGAAAAGATACATTCGTCAAGAATCATAAGGTACAACACTTAATGATAGTCATAGGGTACAAATAAGCAATCAGGAAACAATCTCAATATAAATCATAAGGATACAAGCAACAAAGTTACAGTCATACAGCTCTAAGTGGAAGAAGATGGGTGATGGGAACGATGAGAAGATTAATAGTAGTGCAGATTTAGTAAATAGTTTGACGGTTTTGAGGGAATTATTTGTTTAGCAGAGTGATGGCGTTCGGGAAAAAACTGTCCTTGTGTCTAGTTGTTCTGGGGTGCAGTGCTCTATAGCGTCGTTTTGAGGGTAGGAGTTGAAACAGTTTATGTCCAGGATGAGAGGATCAGCAACGTGGAGTACATTGGTACCAAATCATCTATTGTCATTCGGGTTACCTGAATTACTTACAGAATTTCAGCGTGAAATACCTTGGAACGTTTTGAAAAAAAAAACACAAAATTTTCAGTCATTGCTGATGGCTGAAATCTTATCACAACCTTAAGGGATGTGATTAGCTAAATGATATGAGTTTTCACTGTAGTTATTTATTTGTAGAATTTATATGGCCACCTAACACAAATGTCGTGACTCTGGCAGCCCACAGTAGGCCCCCCCTGACACAAAACAAAAGAAACAATGTCAATTCAAATTCAACCACTGTCAGGCCTTTTGTATTGGGCCTTCAGGCCTGCCACATTTAGTGCTGTAGGAAATTGGGAAGGGGGGATTGTATGAAGCAAGGGAGTTACGTAGTCATAATAACATTCCTTTCTCAGAGAGTCAAGGACATCGCGCTCTGCACCTGGATGGGTGTGACTGGGAGACATCTCCAGTTGGGACGGTGCTTTGATTGGACCATGTGATGGACATGTGGGTGCAGAGGAAGAGACATGGACTTTTCTTTGGGTGGGGAAACGCTGAAAGCTTTCAGATTCGGGTTTTCCCCAGATGTGCCAATATGACATCTCTAATAAAATGTAACTTTGAGGAACTTCAAGCCTCAGAGTTTTCTTTCGTTGGGGGTGTTACTTGGAACCCTGACATTAACGCAAATCTGAAAGTTCAGGGTTTCCCCACCCAAAGAAAAGTTCAAGTCCCTACCCAACACCCACAATTCTTAATAGGCAACCAAAAATTCACAATGCTGTTCCAACTGTGGTGGCTGGAGGAGACTACTGAAAATCCCTTGGACTGCAAGGAGATCAAATCAGTTGATCCTAAAGCAGGGCTCTGCAACCTTAAATACTCAAAGAGCCACAGAAAAGAAAACACCAGGAGCCACAAAACCTGGGTGGGCGTGGCCAACTCAATGTCACCCACCAGTCACATGACCCCCCCCCAGCCACGCCTACCCAGCCAGTCATTAGGGCAGAGAACCCATTGTTAAAAAACACCGGGTACCACAAAATCCTTTTGAGATCTCTCTCTCCCCTCTCTTCCTCCCCCCCTCTTCCTCTCTCTCTGTATCTCTCTATGTCTCTCTCTCTCTCCCCCTCTCTCTGGATCTCCCTGTCTCTGCCCTGGCCGCTTCTCCATCCTCCACCGTTGCCCTTACCTTCTCAGGCCAGGCGAGGAGTGACTGGGAGGGGAGGGCGAGGGGTGGGGCCAGCCAGTGGTGGGATCACCTGACAGGGAGCCATAGCAGAGGGCCCAAAGAGCCACATGTGGCTCCGGAGCCGCAGGTTGCTGACCCTTGTCCTAAAGGAAATCAATTCGGTCTATTCTTTGGAAGAACAGAGATCCTGAAGCTGAAGCTCAAAGACTTTGGCCTCCAAATGAGATGAGAGGACTCCTCGGAGAAGACTCCAATGACGTTGGGAAAGATGGAAGGGAAAAAGAGAAGGGGACGGCAGAGGAGGAGATGGTTAGATAGGGTCATCATGACTTTGAGCAAACATTGAGAGACAGGGGAGGACAGGAAGGCCTGACACGCTGTGGTCCATGGGGGTCCTGAAGAATCAGAAAACAACTTAGCAACTGAACAAGAACAAAAGATTCACTTCACACCCTCCTCCAGATGAGGGAATGCAGTCTTCCCAGCCCCAAGGCCGAAGAAAACGAATGGCACATTTTGACCGTCTTTCCGAAGGCCTTCAGGGTTCCTGACCCTGCAAGATAAGGGCCATTTTAACATCTTTTAACGTTATGACCCCTGGTTTAGACATCCAAGCTCTGAAGATAGATGGTGATTAGAATGTTAAAACAGGGGAGCGCCCTATATAAGTCTCTTCGGTGAGCCAATTAAAAAGACCCATAAAAGCCGGGGCAGAGGGTATGTATGCCAGGCCTAAGGTCCCAATCCTTTTTCCCCCTGCAGGTAAAAAGATTTCAGAGACATTTGTCCGAGGACTGAAAGCGATGCGGGCTATTAATTCACACAAGGCTTATCTAATCATCTTCTCTTGGCATTTTATGATGTTATAACCCTCTCTCCAATTAAGAAATATTCAAACCAATTTTCATAGAGATGATTCATCACTTGGTGACTCTGCAGATCCATTGATGAGTTCGGGAAGCGAAACCACCTTGGCTGACCCAGCCTTGCGGACGTCTTCTTTGCGACATTCAGCCGCAGGTCACTTGACCAATAAGACCTCGAGGGATGTAGAAGTGTCTGGGAAGTTTCATTTCAGATGTTCCCGAAGCCTCCAGACCCCTCTTAGAAACTGGGGCAGAAACTTAAACCTGCAAACTTGATCCTTGGCTTCCATGCTACGAAGGACTTCTGTTCCCTGGCCTGAAATGTTTTGTTTGGAGAAACAGAGGCACCGCTAGAAAAAGTCATCATAGTATCCACTTTTATGGAATTATAAATTTCTTTCTATCCCTGCTGAGATAAAATAGGTAAAAGAACATCAGGAGCAGGGGTGGGCAACTATGGCCCCTTTGCAATCTGTGGACTTCAACTCCCAGAATTCCTCAGCCAGCCATGCGCTGATGATGTTACCTAGTTTGGCAATGAGATGTCGGCAAGAAAACAACCAAGCTTAGAGAGCACCAAGGATCCCTCATTTTAACCCTGAGCTACAAATATTCTGCTCCAAAGGTTAATACCCAGGTAATCCTCAATTTACGACCACAACAGAGCCCCCAAATTTCTGTTGCTAAGCGGGACAATTGTTAAGCGGGTTTTGCCCCATTTTATGATCTTTCTTGCCAATGTTGTGGTCCACCAGCAGCCTGCGGAGCTGGTAGTGGAGTCGGACAGTGAGGAGGCTGAGGAAGAACATGGGCCAGTCCTGGAGGCTGGGGAAGGCCTGGATGAGGGCTCTGCGTCAGAGGCAGAGATGGGGCCAGGGCCATCTGGGAGTGATGTGCGGACTCCGGAGCCTCCAGAGGCTGACATCAGAGAGGCAGAGGAACAGGAGGAGCCTGTTCCTAGTGCACGCATGAGAAGAGCTGCCAGAAGGCAAGAGCAGCTAAAGCAAAAAGGACAGCTCAGGAGTAAGGCCAAGAGATAATTGGCCCCTCCCATAAGGCTTAAAAGACCAGCAAGGGCTCTTGGGCTCTTTGTCGGAAAACAACATTGATAGTTTTGTTTCTTGTCTTGCTGCATTTATTTCTTGTCGGCGTCTTCTGCTTCTAAACTTTTGCCAAGAAAAGCCTTTGGCAGGTTGCCAAAGTAGACCGAGGTTGATGATAAGGCTGAAGAACTGTGTTATGAAGAATTTGTTTTGAATCAGTTTGGACTACACTGAGAATGAGTTAATTCTCAGATGTTCTAATAAAATCTGTTTGTTTAGAACTGATTGCGTCTGATAATACCTACTTGGGCCTAGGTCACAACAGTCAAATTGTCAAGTGAATCGCTGCCGTTGTTAAGTTAGGAACATGGCTGTAAAATGAATCTGACTTCCCAGTGAATGTACTTGTCAGACAGTCACAAAAGGGGATCAGATGACACCAGAGACACTGCAATCGCCATGAATATGAACCTAGTTGCCAAGCATCCACATTTTGACCGCATGACGGTGGGGATGCTGCAATGGTCGTAAGTGTGAAAAATCGTCCTCAGTCACTTTTTTCCCCCCAGTGCTACTGTAACTTTCAACAGTCACTTGTAAGTCAAGGACTACTTATATTTCTTTTTGAAATATTTTTTTTAAAAATCCAATAAGAGGATTGACACACACACACCCTACTCAAAAAACAAGAACAACAAAACCCAGACCACTTGAGAATGGTTACCCAGGAACTGTGCCTCGCTGACTCATAACCGACTCCAGCTCGTCCAGAAAGATTGTGGAAGGCGCATGATAGCGGGCAAGTTCAAATAATACCTGCGGAGAAAGAGACAGAATCCCAAGAAAGAAAGGTCAAGAGGGAGAAATGGTCTGTTTGGCATTGTTCTCCGACAGCAGGAATCTGGGAAGAACACGCTCTACGTGGGGCTGCCCTCAGTGATGGGATTCAGCCGGTTCGCACCACTTCGGGAGAACCGGTTGTTAACTTTCTGAGCAGTTTGGCAAACTGGTTGTTGGAAGAAATCATTAGGGCAGAGAACCAGATTCAAATTACTTGAATCCCACCACTGGGCTGCCCTCAGTGGTGGGTTTCAAAAAATTTTATGCCAACACCTTAACCACTGCCTTTAGTTATGAGGTGAAATGAATTTATACTTTTAAAAAAACTTGATACGTTTCAATAATTTTTTTTAAAAAATAGCAATTAACTAGACTCATCCTTTGCACAAGCTACAATTTAAGTATGATTCCTGGAAGAAGCCACATTGTCCTGGATCATATATTCCATGAAGCCAAACAACAAGGTTTACAAATCAGAGTAAAAGGGGGAGTAAAAGGGAAAAAAGTGAGATATTATAAAAATGTATGCAAATGATGAAATAAAAATAAATAATAATTGAATAAGAAATTGAAATAAGAATAATTAGAAAATCGGGGCTGCTCGAATACCACTTTAGATTGAACTGAAAAGGGAAACAACAGGAGAGAGGGGAAGAAGTAGAGAGAGGGGAAGGGAGAAGAGAGGAGTGGAGAGAAGAGGAGAAAGAAGAAAGGGAAAAGGAGAGGAAGAAAAGGGAGGGGAAAGAGGAGTAGAGGAGAAGGTTAGAAGGGGGGAAGAAGAGAGGAGTGGGGGAAGAGAAGGGGAAGTAGGAAAGAGAAGGAGAAAAAGAACGAAGGAAGTAGGAGAAGAGAGAGGAAGGAAGAGAAGGGGAGGAGAAGAAGAAAGGTTGGAGTAAACGTAAAGGGTAAAAGAGCAGCCCTGAAAAAGTAAAAATGAAAAATGAAAGTTACAAGAAAAAATGAATGAAAAATGATGGAAATGACTGTACATGTAAATGTGTTTATGAGAAATAAAAATAAAAAACTTTATTAAAAAAAAAGAATTTTTACTACCAGTTCTCCAAACTACTCAAAATTTCCGCTACCGGTTCTCCAGAACTAGTCAGAACCTGCTGAAACCCACCTCTGGCTGCCCTAGGCAGAAGCTCCAGCTGTCTCGCTTAGCGACAAGAGATTTTTTGGCTCAATTTGGGCCGTTAGGCGAGGACCACCTGTATATATCTTGCTTTCTGCCATGGGATCAGAAAAAATGCAATGGCTATTATAGTAAAATATTGTAAGCCACCTCATTATGAGAAGACAGGAGGAGCCTATTAGAAATGCTGCCTTGATACGGACGTACAAAATAATTCTTAAATCTCCACAGCTCACAGAAGAGGAGAGGAAGAGCGAAGAGAGACAAATAATCCTGTCTTTATATTTTAAATCTTTTCACCTAAATCCTACTCAAATACGGAGGGAATAATAAGAGAGGAGAATGATTCCAGAAAGAAAAGCTGAACAAAATCCTCCTTATAACCGCTAGAGACTAAAATGTCCCTTTACAGCTGCATTTATAGATTTTTAAATACACTTTCATAAGCAAAAATGAATGCAAAGAGAATTAAAAGTTGGGTGAGCTAAATACTTAGGTACATTTTACACCCGCTTCTCTCTACAAATAACCCTCTTCAGAAAAACCAGAATTCTGGTGGAAATTACACGTTAGATCTTTTGTTCAGCAAAAAATAATTGTGCTGAAACGTACAGATAGTCCTCAATTTACGACCACAATTGAGTCCAAAAATTCTGTGGCTCAGTGAGCTTTGCCCCATTTTACGACTATCCTTGCTACAGTTGTTAAGTGAATCACCGCAGTTGTTACAGTAAGTTAGTAACACCGTTGTTAAGTGAGTCTGGCTTCCCCACTGACTTTGTTCGTCAGGAGGTCGCAAAAGGGGATCACATGACCCCGGGACACTGCAACCGTCATAAATATGAGTCAAATTGCCAACTTTGATCATGTGACCATGGGAATGCTGCAATGGTCGAAAGTGTGAAAAATGGTCATAAGTCACGTTGACCCCGGGATGCTGAAACCGAAATATGAGCCAGTTGTAAGGGGTCCATAGTTTGATCACGTGACCATGGGGATGTTGCAACGGTCGTAAATGTGAAAAATAAGTCGCTTTTTTCAATGCCTTTGTAACTTTGAATTTGACTTACAACTATTGGTCATTAAACGAATGGTCGTAAGTCAAGGATTACCTGTATTATGAAAAAATTACAGCGAGACATGAAGATGTAATCCAGTGCAGAACTTATAATGATCACTAGAGGGGAGCAAAGGAACAGAAAACACTCACTCTGCTGCTCTCTAGTGAATGTCTGGATTTTTACAGCCCGTTTAAAAATCTCTCTGAATCAGTTATCTTCCATTGCATTTTAATCTTGGGTGATTTTCTAGGACCGGGATGGCAAACCTGTGGCACAGGTGGCACACGGAGCTGTATCTGTGGGCACGTGAGCGTTGCCCTAGCTCAGCTCCAGTGCGCATGCGAGCACCAGCCAGCTGATTTTTGGGCATTCCAGTCCCACCATAAGTTGGGAAACGGGCCATTTCTGGCCTCCGGGTGGGTGGGGATGGCTGTTTTCGCCCTCCCCAGGCTCCAAGAAGGCCTCTGGAGCCTGGGGAGGGCGAAAAACGGGCCTACCTGGCCCACCGTGCCATCGCATGCCAAAGCGTGGGGAGCGTGGGGGGGTCATGCACAGGGGGGCAGGGCACTTTGAATTATGGGTGTGGGCATGTGCACACATGACCCGCCGCCCCCCCCCGCTCCCCATGCTTTTGGCACGCAACAGCAAAAAGGTTAGCCATCACTGTTCTAGGATAATTTTGGACTTGGACTTCGACTACTAGAATCCCCTAGCAAGCGTACTGGCTGAGGAATTCTAGGAACTGAAGTCCATGCTCAGGTGGGGAAACACTGCTCTAGAAAGTATTGGGATAGGGATGATTAGTTTAGCCAACGCTTGCCTTTGGCCAGAGGTGGTGAACCTTTTACTCATCGAGTGCCAAACAGATACATGCTTTGCGCACTTTGCGCATGCTTACCATCCATGCCAACGTGCGGCTCCTCCCCCATGCGCTGTGCGCGCAACCACACCATCTGTGCATGCTCACAGATTTCACGCGTGCACCCCACCGTGCGCTGTGCGCAATTGCACCATCTCTGCATGCATGTGGTTTACGCACATGCAACGCACACGTGCGAACACCATTTGCACATGCTGCGCACCAGTATTCTTGTGCACATGCGCAAACTCACACACATGCTCAGGAGAGCCCCGAAGACCAGCTAGGTTCCCTGAATCACACACATGCGCACCGGAGGCCCAAACACCAGCTGGGGTGTGTGCACATACTCAGCTGCAGGTGAGTTGGGCGACAGCTCGCGTGCCCGGAAAAATGGCTCAGCGTGCCACTTCTGGCATGCGTGCCATATGTTTGCCATCACGGCCTTAGGCCGTATTTTAGCTAATTCTCTCTTAAATTCTTGGTATAAAGAAAACAAAAGGGATTTTTTACTCTGACAAGCTTTTCCGAATCGCCTCTCCATTTGCTGACAATGGTGGATGCGGAGATGTTGAAGAAAGTTGTGTTACATTCAGTGGCAACAGCTTTAGCCAGCAAAGTTTTCCCAGTACCTACAAGTTGAAGGAAAGGCAGTGTTTACTCTCAAGCCATAAAACGTATAAAGCACAGTTGCAGAAATTGGGTCTGTCTCAGGGGTGAAATGTAAAATCTGTTACTACTGGTTCTGTGGGCGTGGCTTGGTGGGGGGGTGTAATGTGACTAGGTGGGCGTGGCCAACTTTTTTTTTTTTTTAACTTTTCAAAGCATTTTTTCTAATGCTTTGAAAAGCCTCTCTGCCGATCAGGAACTCAGCTTGGTTTACCACCTCTTCGGCCAAGAGGTTGCAGGAAAAAAATGCTTTGAAAAGCCTCTGAGGATCCCAGCTGAGCCGCATGATCATCAGAGGCTTTTTTTTTTTTTACTTTTAAAAGGACTTTTTCACCGGAAGAGGTTGTAAAAAAAATGCTTTTAAAAGTAAAAAAAAAAAAGCCTCTGATGATCGCGCGGCTCAGCTGAGCATGGTGGGGGGGGCAGGGATTTTTCCTACCGGTTCTCCGAACCACCCACCGCCATCACTACCAGATCGGGCGATCCAGTCCGAACCAGGAGCATTTCACCCCTGGTCTGTCTAGTCTAGACATACTTTTCTTGACAAGAAGGACTAGGGGAGACATGATAGCAGTCTTCCAATATCTCAGGGGTTGCCACAAAGAAGAGGGAGTCAAGCTATTCTCCAAAGCACCTGAGGGCAGGACAAGAAGCAATGGGTGGAAGCTAATTAAGGAGAGAAGCAACCTAGAACTAAGGAGAAATTTTAATCAGTGGAACAACTTGCCTCCAGAAGTTGTGAATTTTGATCCCATGACCATGGGGACGCTGCAGTGGTCATAAGCATGAAAAGGAGTCATATAAGGCACTGTTTTCAGTGCCGTTATAACTTCAAGCGGTCACTGACTGTTGTAAGTCAAGGTCTCTTTCATTAAGGAGATTGTTGGCATTCAGAATGAAAAAGAGTCACAAAATTTAATTAAATAATATCATACCTGGAGGCCCATATAGCAGAAGTCCCTTCCAAGGAGAAAGAATGCCTGTAAACAACTGTGGGTACTGTGGAAAAAAGAAGAAAATGAAAAAAGCCATCACTAAAAAACCGGCTGTTTGGAGCATTAAGCACACAGCAGGTTACTCTAGCACAGGGGTGTCAAACTCAAGGCCCGGGAGCCAGATCCGGCACGCGGGGTGCTTAGTTCCGACCCGCAGAGCCACCCTAGAAAGAGCAAAAGATTGGCCTGTGGTGCCTCTGCCAGCAAAAATGGGCTCCCGAGCTCAGTTTTTGCTGGCAGAGGGTTGCAGGAGGCCATCCCAGCCGAAAATGGAGCTCGGGAGCCCATTTGCGCTGAGAGAGTCCTCGGGCCACCGCAGGCGCTCCCCGACACGAGTGACATCAAGCTGGCCACACCCACCCTGGCCACGCCCCCCCCAGCCCCGAGGTCAAATACAACCCTGATGTGGCCCACAATGAAATCGAGCTTCACACCCCTGCTCTAGCAACTCAACCAGCATTTTTTTTTTTAATCAGAACATTGCTACAAGGAAAATATAGGAAATCAGGGTGGCTGATTCTGTATTTTTCACTTTTATTCATTTAATGTCCCCCCTCCCTTTGGAACATCAAGCTCATTGGTAGATTTTATTTATTTATTTGATTTTTTTAGCCCGTTTTTTAGGACTAGAACTCGCTGACTCCCACTTTCTAGCCTGATGCCTTCGTCACGAGACAAAAACGACTCTCAAACCAGTCCTCAAGTTAATTTTCCTTCCTTTCAAATTGCTTCCCAATTTAAGTCGTATTTTCAAAATCAGCAACGGTAGCTTGGAAAGGAAAAAAAAAAAAAGATTACAGATAGTTCTCAACTTACAACTATTTGTTTCCCGACTGTTGTAAAGTTACAACGGCACTGAAAAAAGTGACTTACGACTGCTCTTCGCACTTGCAACCGTCATATCATCTGTGCTGTCACACGATCAAAATTTAGGAGTTTGGCAATTGGCATGTATTTACAACTACGGTAGGACAATGTCCCAGGATCATGTGATCATCACTTGTAACCTTCCCAGATGGCTTCTGGTGAGCAAGTCGATGGGGGAAGCCAGATTTGCTTAACGACCATGTGATTCACTTAGCAACTGCAGTGACTTGTATAACAATCGTGGCATCAAAGCAGTGGTGGGTTTCAAAAATTTTTACTACTGGTTCTGTGGGCGTGGCTTGGTGGGTGTGGCAGGGGAAGGATACAGTAAAATCTCCATTCCCTTCCCAATCCAGGGGAAGGTGACTGCAAAATAGATGGATGTTGTGGCCCGTCAGCAGCCTGTGCAGATAGTAGCTGATTCCAACAGCGAGGAGGCTGGTGTGGTGCTGTGCCAGCAGCCTGTGCAGCTGGCACTCGAGTCGGACAGTGAGGAGGCTGGAGAAGATGTGGTGCCAGAGGCAGAGATTCAGCTAGGGCCTTCAGAACCTCCAGAAGCTCCCTTAAGTGAAGAGGAAGAAGAGGAGGAGCCTCTTCTCGATGCATGGGCGCGCAGAGCTGCCAAAAGGCAGGAGTGGCTCCTCAGGAGGAGGTCTCCTCGAGAGTAAGGCTTGGGGCTAATTGGTCACTCCCTTAGCCTATTTAAGGAAGGACGATGACTGAGGCAATTTGCAGGGAACAACTTAGTTCACTCTCCTTCGTGTCTTGATCTTAGTTCTTTTATCAGTTATCTGCAAATTGCTTCTGGGCTTTCTGCCAATCCTAGTAAAATTACGATTGTTTATTCTTTGGATTCTTGTAGGCTGTTAAGAAAGTTAATTAACAGCCTTTGTTTGAAAAAGACTGATTTAATTTAGTAAACTAAGGTTTGTACAGACTTTGTGTGTGCTGCGTTCTTTGGGGTCCGTAGCTGGGGCAGAACAATGGGGGCGGGGCCAGTCAGAATTTTTACTACTGATTCTCCAAACTACACAAAATTTCCAGTACTGGTTCTCCAGAACTGGTCAGAACCTGCTGAAATCCACCTCTGCAACAAAGGTTGTAAAATCAGGTGTGACTCACTTACAGCTGCCTTGCTTAGCAATGTAAATTTGGGGCCCCAACTGTGGTCGTACGTCGAGAACTACCTGTACAGGTAGTCCTTAGCATACAATCACAATTGAGCCCAGAATTTCTGTGGCTGAGAAATTTCTTTAAGGGAGTTTCGCTCCATTTGATGACTTTTCTTTCCACATTTGTTAAGTGAATCACTGCGGTTGTTAAGTTAGTGACCCGGTTGTTAAGTGAATCCGGCTTCCCCGTTGACTTGTCGGACCTTCTGAAAAGATGACCACATGACCCTGGGACACGGCGACCATAATAAATATGAGCCAATTGTCCAGCATCCGTACCTAAATCATACAACCATGGGGGATAAAACAGTGGTCGGTCGTAAGTGTGAAAAATAGCCCTAATGTCCCTTTTTTCAGTGCCGCTGTAACTCCCAACCATCGCTAAATGAACTTGCTGCAAGTCGAGGACTACCTGTGTGTCTCAGCCACGAGAACAGAGGCCATTTGTGTGACTTTTGAAAAGGTGGTTCAGCCGCTCCTTACCCTGATGGGATACACAACAGCTTCCTTGACCAACCGCTTGGCTGAGTCAAGTCCGATGATGCAATTCCACTTGACATTGGGGCTGTGAAGGTAGATATCCTGCAAGACATGGTTTGATCTTCTTAAAAACAGGCCTCCCATTTTTCCTGTGCAAGCATAATAAACACGCAGCAAAATAAGCTCCGGACGTGCCGTAAAAATTAAGGGGGAAAAGCAACAAGATAAAGAGCAGGTGATTATGCGGATGCCATTATGGGGGAGGAGCAGAAGGGAAGAGTCAGCTGTGGCTGGAGGACGACTTTCAGCATCTCTCTCCATTACTCAGGCTTGGTTGGACATGCAAGAATTGTCATTCAGCAATGGGCTGGAGGTTCTGGCTGGCTCATCCTGTCTTTAATTCAGGGATGTGTCCAACCTCAGTAACTTTAAGACTTGTGGACTTCAAATCCCAGAATTCCCCCAAGCCAGCTGGCTGGGGAAATTCTGGGAGTTGAAGTCCACAGGTCTAGAGTAGAGTAGAGTAGAGTAGAGTAGAGTAGAGTAGAGTAGAGTAGAGTAGAGTAGAAAATCAGAATAGAATAGAATAGAATAGAATAGAATAGAATAGAATAGAATAGAATAGAATAGAATAGAATAGAATAGAATAGAATAATAACTTTATTGTCACTTTGAATGCACACTAATCAGCAAAATGAAATTTTGCATCCAATATACGCTACCCTGTTTCCCCCAAAATAAGACATCCCCTGATAATAAGCCCAATTGGGCTTTTGAGCACGTGGCAATAAGGCCAAGTGCTTATCTCAGGGTTCAAAAAAATATAAGACAGGGTCTTATTTTCGGGAAAACACGGTATATAATATAAGAATTAATAAATAGAGAAAAATACAGAATTATGCATATAGTTAAAGTTGCCAAGGTTGAATAACGTTCCTCTAATTCCGTGATGGCGAACCTATGGCACAGGTGGCACGCAACGCGCTCTCTGTGGGCATGTGAGCCATCGCCCCAGTTCAGCTCTGCCATGCATGCACCTCCCGCCGTCAGCTGGTGTTCGGGTCTCCGTCACGCATGCGTGGGTGCATGGGGGTGGGGAGTGTGCCAAGGACCCCCACACTTCATTAATCGTAGTATTTTGGGCTCCACAATGGATTGCTTTTTTCCTGGCAGATACAAATTATGCAACTTGTAGGACTCCATAAGGTGGGAGAGTCTGCTAACACAGCAGCCCCCCCAACCTTTTGATCAGCAGGGAAAGGTTCCATGGGGAGAGGTTTTTTCACAGATCAGAAGGGGCTTGGTTTCACGTGCTGCCTGCATCCAGCAGATGGGTCTTCTCTTCTTTGCGTGGTCCGGTTTTTGGCATTTCACGGACCGGGGCCAGTCCACGGACCAGGGGTTGGGGACCCCTGAACCAGAGGTGGACTTCACATAATTTAACAACTGGTTCGCCCAGAATCGAATATGTGAGCGCGCATGGCTTGCACGCGTGTGCGCGGCTTAAAAAATGTGGCTAAATAGGATGGCATAGCGCCGGGGCAGGTGGGCGGGGGCAGTCACCCGCACGTCGCAACTACCAGTTTGCCCAAACCGGCTGAATCCCACCCCTGCCCTGAACTAACATAAGAATGTGGGGCTCAGGCAAGAAAGGTCTCTATTGATGTCCCTCCCTTGTGTCTTCTGCTTGACTTTCAATATCAAGATGGACAGTAGGCTTAGTCCCTCATTGAATGAGGCTGGAGTTTAACAACCATCCTTAGTCTGATAACAGAAACTCACCTTGCTGACAATCGTTGCAAGCTCCCTCATTTCAGCTGTCATCCCAAGTAAGGCGCCCAAAGGTTTTAATAGACGTTCCTAGAGAAAAGGAAAATAGACACAGATCAACAGTTCTGATCGGAGTTTTATTTCTAATTGAAATAATTGTTCCCAAAGAACTAATGACTTTTTGCCAGCTATTGGTTAGAAAGAACGTCACTCACCGAAGGATCTGGATTGCAGTTAAAGCTGTGTATGGAGATTTCACTGGATGCTCCTTTGATAGCATCCTGAATCAGCCCACGGAAGTCAATGATTTGGCCCTGCGGGAGAAGCAACACCATTTGCTCAGCCTGAACTCTTGGAGACACCAAACAAGACAGACACAGACTTTAGAGGATAATTAGAACTGCAGAAAAAAAGAATTGCTACCAACCTGCCTTTCATTGGGGATCTGTATACTGCAGGAGTCAAAAAGAGGGCTGTGAAAATATCTACAGACCCCTCACCTCCTGGAGGGCACTGCACACCAGAACAACTAGACACAAGGACAGTTTTTCCCCCGAATGCCATCACTCTGCTAAACAACTAATTCCCACAACACTGTCAAACTATTAGTAAGAATGTATTACGATTATTCTTCTCATCTTCTCATATTACCTATCTCCTTATCTTGTAACTTTGTTGCTTGTATCTTTATGGTTTATATTCTTTTATGTAGTTTCCTAGTACAATTTATGTTGATTGCTTATTTAGTATCCTATGACTATCACCAAGCGTTATATCTTATGATTTCTGATAAATGTATTTTTATGACTATGATCATGATTTATCACTTATAGCTTTTATGTACAATGAGAGCTTATGCACTGAAGACAAATTCCTCATGTGTTCAGTCACACTTGGCTAATAAAGAATTCTATTCTATTCTATTCTATTCTATTCTATTCTATTCTATTCTATTCTCTCCACTCCATTCCATTCCACTCCACTCCACTCCACTCCGTTCCCTACTCTACTCTACTATATTCTATTCTCTCCACTCCATTCCATTCCATTCCATTCCATTCCATTCCACTCCACTCTGTTCCCTACTCTACTCTACTGTACTCTATTCTATTCTCTCCACTCTATTCCATTCCATTCCACTCCACTCCGTTCCTTACTCTACTCTACTATATTCTATTCTCTCCACTCCATTCCATTCCATTCCATTCCACTCTGTTCCCTACTCTACTCTACTCTACTCTACTCTACTCTACTCTACTCTACTCTACTCTACTCTATTCCATTCTATTCTGAATAGAATAATATTAAGAGCCATGGTGCAGAGGTGGTATTCAGCAGGTTCTGACCAGTTCTGGAGAACCGGTAGCGGAAATTTTGCGTAGTTTGGAGAACCGGTAAATACCACCTCTGACTGGTCCCGCCCCCATCTATTCTCTGCCTCCTGAGTCCCAGCTGATCAGGAGGAAATGGGGATTCAAGCTAAACCAAAGAAGAAACTTCTATTGATAACAAAGGCCAGAGTTGATCATCTAATGTTTCTCAACCTTAGGAACTTCAAGTATGTTTACGAATACCGGTAGGCCTCAACTTACAACAGTTCATTTAGTGACTGTTCAAACTTACAACGGCAGTGAAAAAAAGTGACTTATGACCGTTTTTCTCACTCATGACTATTGCAGCATCCCCTCGGACACGTGATTTGCATTCGGATGCTTGACAACTGACTCACATGTATGACGGTTGGCGGTGTCCCGGCGTCATGGGATCCCCTTTTGTGACCTTCTAACCAGCAAAATCAATGGAGAAGCCAGATTCACTTAACAGCGCTGTTACTAATTTAACAACTGCAGTGATTCACTTAACAAATGTGTCAAGAAAAGTCGTAAAATGGGGCAAAACTCACTTAGCAAATTTCTCGCTTGGCAACATAAAATATTGGGCTCAATTGTGGTCATAATTTGAGGACTATCTATATATTAAACAACGCTCAGGATGTCTACAAGTCTTTCCCCTTGGACTCCTTAATGTTACATAAGACCCTTAATGTTTTTAGGATTTTGACTAACTCTTTTAGAATGAGGGCCTTCTCCACCTCCTTTGTGGATTGCAGATACATTTAAACCAAATTCCGATGCGACCCGACTTAAAGGACCTTCATCCTCCTGTAAGGGAAAAAAGAAATATTCTGAAGTTAGTGAGAGCCAGTTTGGTCTAGCGATTAAGGCACCAGGTTACAAAGCAGGAAACCGTGAGTTCAAGTCCCATCTTAGCCATGAAAGCTGTTGTGGCTCCGACCCCCGAGCCCATCTTATCGGAGGGAGAAGGCTCCGAACATGAAGGAGAGGAGCCGGCCAGGCCTCCCTCTCCAGGCCCCTCCTCTCTGTCTATGCCTCAGGTGTCTGCCGAGGGAGAGGAGATTGGCCAGGAGCCAGGTGTCTCCGATGACAGTGATGATGGTGATACGTCATTGCTGGATCCACGCCAACGAAGGCGAGATAAACGTTCGCAGCAGATGCGGAGGCGTGCCAGGGATTAAGCTGAGTCACTAGACCACACCCCACAGGCTATATGAGAGTGTGGTGGCCATTTAGACTCTGTGACGGACACAGCTAACTTCTGGCTAGTCATTTTGTACAAAGCCTGAATCTGCTGAAGGTTTCTGTTTGAGGTGGACTGTTTTTGAAAACTGTGTGTATTTGTTGGTGTTTATCTGGTGGAGGAAAACTCCCTCTTCTTGAAGTAAAGCACTTGGCAGACGGTTATCGTATTGCTGCCAAGTTCCTGATAACGAACTTTGTGTGTGCCAAGTAATTCTTTAACCCCCGGCTGACTGCTTGTGTGTGTGTGGGGACGGGGATAGAACAAAAGCTGGCTGGGTGACTTTGGGCCAATCACCAGAAAAACATGTGTTCTAATCCTGCCTATGAAAGCCAGTTGGGAGACTCTGGGCCAGTCACTCTTTCCCAGCTCAACTCACCTCACAGGATTTTTATTGTGGGAAAACAGGAAAAAGGTGTATAGGATATATTCACCATCTCAAGTTAATACATACATACATACATACATACATACATGCCCAATGTCATCAGGGCACTTAGTACCATGTCCAAGAATGTTACAAAACACATCAAGAAATTGCAGCTTCCTGCAATAACACCAGGGGAACTGCAAAAAACTGCGCTACTCGGAACATCGCACATCTTAAGAAGGTACTTGGTTGATACCTAGGACGTTGGCAGCAACCCGTATCAACCATTAGCACCAGTCAATGGTATTTGTGATGCATTTTTGAATGTTCAGTTGACTGAGTTTCATATTTAATGAATAAAGATAATAATAATAATAATAATAATAATAATAATAATAATAATACAGTTTGCTGGGTTTCATGTTTAATGAATAAAAGAGATAATAATAGATACAAATGAATAAAATAATAAATAATTTAAAAATATTACTTCATAGGGAGGTAATAGGAGTAATACAATAGGAGTAAAACAAGAGTAGGGTAGGGTAGGGTAGGGTAGACTAGACTAAAATAGAATAGAATAGAAAATGAAAAGAATAGAATAGAATAATAGAGGAGAGTAGACTAGGAGAGGAGAGAAGAGTGGGGAGGAGGAGGAGGAGGAGGAAGAGGAGGAGGAGGACTGTAAGATATGTGATGCTCTCTGAGCCTGGTTTATTTCTTGCAGGCATTTCATGACCTTAACTGGGCAAATCATCAGTGCTACAAGGAAGGAGGAGGACAAGAAGATAAGAGGAGAGGAGAGGAGAGGAGAGGAGAAGAGAAGATAATATAGTAAAAAGAGTAGAAGAGAAGATAATAGAGTAGAGTAGAGTAGAGTAGAAGAGAAGAGAAGAGAAGAGAATACAGTAGAGTATTTGGACTCTACTTCCATTGACTTGGAAGAAGGGATACATTCACCACCTTGAGTTATTTCAAAAAAATAATAATAAATATCAGTTACAAATAAATAAAATAGTAAATAATTTAAAAATATTGCTTCATAGGCAGGTAGTTCTTGGCTTGCAACCATTCACTTAGTGACCATTCAAAGTTACAACAGCCCTGAAAAAAGTTCTCACACCTAAGACTGTCGCAGCATCCTCAGAGTCACGTGATCAAAATTCGGGCACCTGGCATGTATTTATGACAGTTGCAGCGTCCACCGACAGCCGTTCGTGACTTTCCCAGCTGGCTTCTCACAAGTGAAAGCAGTAAACAAACGAAAACGAGATTTACCTGCTTCGAGTTTTCTTTGAGCTCTGCTACTTTTGTGGGTGACACTTTGGACTGGGGTCTCCCCTGATGTTGGTTAATCTTGGGAAGATTCCGGCATGTGCCAGTGGGGGCCCTAAGATGGGGAAAATGGAATTTAGTTGAGCACATTTCTTAAAGCGGAAAAGATTCGAGGCCCGGTCATGGACGTTGTGTGTGTGTGTGTGTGTGTGTGTGTGTGTGTGTGTGTGTGCTGTCAATTAAAGTCCCAGCGGTTGCCATAATAGGATAATAAAAGCCCCTCCTTTTAAATGTCTATGGAGATTTTCAGTCATCCAGGTCATGTTTGTCCCAAAGGATGCAGTACAGTGCAGTGAGCCATGTGCAGATCTGTACATTGGGGGGAAACAAAACAACCATTTCACAAACGCGTGGCACAACATAGGAGAACAAACCCATCTGGGCTAGATTCAGCAGTCCATCTGCATTTGAAAGACCAAGGCCACTCTTTTGAAGACAGCAAAGTCCACATTTTGGACAGAGAGGACCGCTGATTTGAAAGAGGGGTCAAAGAGGCCATCTATGTCCAAATTGAACAGCCTTCTCTCAACCAAGTGGGAAGGATACGACATTATCTAGCTCCAGCCTACAACGTAGTCCTTTCAACAGTTCCAAGAAGGCTCCACACCCATTTGCACCACTCAAAGTGAGCCTGTGGACACAAACCTCCAAGTGGCCTCAACGACTTTCTAAAAGAATGAAAATGACCAGCTGTTTGCAAGGAATATAAATCCTTCCATTCCCCACCATCCAGTCAGAGCTGAAGAAACTTCTTGGATGAGAAGCAAAATGTCTTCAAAGAAAAAACCAGAAAGTCCAGTTGCCTCTTGAAAAAAGCACTTTTGGGACACCTCCCTTTAATATTTTTTTTTCCTTTTAACAATCCTGTAATCCCTTTCATCGGGGTGGAATTGGGGAGACTGAGCGGATCTTGAGCATTTATTGGCCGGATTCCCTTCCTGACGCTTATAGGGAGTTCACAGCATATATTTTCTCTTTGCACCCAGAGAGAGAAATATCTGCCGCTACCTAAGATCAAACTCACAGCCTTTATTGTGAGGCAAGAGCTCCACCTCTGTGGCACCACGCCACTCCCCTCCCTTTACATTTGCCACGTATAAAAGGGGTGGGACACAGCTGCCACGTTTTAACTTTTTTTTTACCTCCACGCAGATGCTCCCAATAAAAGCTCCATAGATCCAGGCGCCTCACTCTCCTATTTAGATTGAAACTCTGTGCTACAGGCAGGACTGGTTTTAAGAGATTCTGAGACATCAGTTTGTCCAAAATAATGCAGAGTAAGACTGGATAGTCTGGCTCAAAATGTCTCATCTTGGTTCAGCCACTTCATTTCTAAAGCTCACTTGAAACATTTCTTTTAACCAACATTTCTTTTAACCAAGTGGCTCTTCATGGTTTTCTCCCAAGCCTTAAGATCTACTATGCTCTACACTCAAGATGGTTTATGCTCTGCTGAGACACTCAGGATGACAGACCAGCATGGAAAGGTATAAAACAGAGGCTTCATTTTGGCAAAGGCTTTGCCAGATCTTCTGTGTCAGTTAGAGCAATTTTCTCTTACCCCAAACCTTGTTAGTTGCTGGTGCAGTTTCACTCAATTTTAAAGCCTGTATGTTTTATTATTTTGTTTTGTGTTGCTTCCCCAACATTAAGATAACTCATCAACAGAGAGCATCTGATTTTCTCTCGTGAATTACTTCCATTTTCTTCTACTGCAATTCTGCATTATTCTCAATTCCAGAGGTGTTCATAAGATTGTGTATGTGTGAAAAAACTCAAAACTACCCAGTCTATTCATTCATTCATTCATTCATTCATTCATTCATTCATTCATTCTCTCTCATATTTATCTATCAATCTATCAATATCAATCTATCTATCTATATCATATTTATCTATCATATCTAACTTTCTATCTAATATATTTATCTATCTCTATCTACCTATCTACCTATCTACCTATCCATCCCTCCATCATATTTATCTATTTATCTATCATATACATCTATCAATCTATCAATATCTATCATATTTATCTATATTTATCTAACTTTCTATCAATCATATTTATCTATATCCATCTATCCATCTATCCATCTATCTATCTATCTATCTCTGTGTCTGTCTGTCTATCTTATCTATCAATCTATCTATCATATCCATCTATCAATCAATCAATCATATTTATATCTATCTATTTATCATCTATCTATCTATCTATCTATCTATCTATCTATCTATCTAATCTATCCATCCATCCATCCATCTATCATATTTATCTATCCTATCTACCTATCCATCTATCTCCATCCATCCATCCATCCATCCACCCACCCACCCACCCACAAGACTTAACACATTGAATGCAACACCATTTGCATTTCAGAAATGGGGGGGGGATTAAATGAATCAATAAATATGGCTACTAAAGAATTATTACCTAATGCCATCCAGCAGCTACATTTCTCTTACCTTTTTGCTTTCCCTCCACTTCTTGATTTATTGTCTGCTGTGGAAGGGGAGAAAGACAGCAGTTAAAATTAAAAAAAAAAGAAAATATTACTCTGAACAGAAGCAAAAATGTTCTCAAATTTGTGTTACATTCTGGTTTCCTGTTTGTGTTGGGGGTCCGGCTTGCTCTGCTACAGCATTCCTACAGGAGTTTAGAAAGAAAAGATCAACATTTATTCCAGATGAATATTCCAAGGAACTTGGACTGTATGCAGTAAAAATCCAGAAAGATCTTGCTCAAAGCAAACACAAATGCAAAGGAGCTGACAGGAAAGGAGTTCAATTAAATCAGTGTTTCCCAAACTTAGCATGTGTGGACTTCGAATCCCAGAATTCCACAGCCAGCGCGGCCATTGCTACGAATCCTGGAAGTTGAAGTCCACATATGTAATAATGGGAAATATTTGATGAGATGATCTTCAAGGTCCCTTGCAAACCTTGATGCCACGATTCTATGAAAACTTCCTTCAGTTGGAGGTGGTATGTCAGCAGACCTTCCGTGACCAAAATAGCACTGTTCAGTTTTCTCCTTGCATTGGATTAAAAGGATTGCATCAGGGATGAAATTCACTTTCCTTCTCTACCGGTTCGCAAATATGCGCATGCAAATCCATCTGTGCCTGCGCAGAGGCTGAAAATCATTGCAAAAAAGGGACACCATGATGTCCACGTGGGTGGGCGGGGCTTCGTGCAGTCGGCCCTACCGGATTACGTGATCCGGATAGAACCGGCTGAATTTCACCCCTGGATTGCATCCAAGCCTGGTAGTGATGGGAGCCGGTTTGATCTAGCGGTGAAGGTGATGCCTAGGACCAATAGACTGTGAGTTCTAGTCCTGCCTTAGGCATGAAAACCAGCTGGGTGACTTTGGGATGATCACTAGGTGACTGTGAGTTCTAGTCCTGCCTTAGACATGAAAGTCAGCTGGGTGACTTTGGGCTGATCACCAGGAGACTGTGAGTTCTAGTCCTGCCTTAGGCATGAAAGCCAACTGGGTGACTCTCACCAGGAGACTGAGAGTTCTAGTATGACACTGGGAACGAAAAGCACTGGGTGACTTTGGGCCAATCATCAGGAGACTAAGTTCTAGCCTCCCCTTAGGCATGAAGCTGCTGGATGACTTTGGCTGATCACCAGGAGACTGTGAGTTCTAGTCCTGCCTTAGGTATGAAAGCCACTGGATGACTTTGGGTTACTCACCAGGAGACTGAGAGTTCTAGTCCTGCCTTAGGTATGAAAACCAGCTGGGTGACTTTGGATTGAACACCTGGAGCCTGTGGATTCTAGTTCTGCCTTAGGCATGAAAGCCGACTGGGTGACTCTCACCAGGAGACTGAGAGTTCTAGTATGACATTGGGAATGAAAGCAGCTGGGTGACTTTGGGCCAATCATCAGGAGACTAAGTTCTAGCCTCCCTTAGGCATGAAAGCCGGCTGGGTGACTTTGGGACAGTCACCCTTTGTCAGTCCAACCTACCTCACAGGGTTGTTGTGATGGCAAAAAAAGGAGAAGGAAGGAGTATGTACATTCACCGCATTGAGTTACTTATAAAGTGATAAAGGTGAGATAAAAAATCAAATCAATGAATAAAATGAGCTCCACTTAAGGAGCCACACCCATATAGGTTTCTGCTCCACCATGGAGAGAGCCAATATGCCAGAGGTATAAAAAAATTCAGGGGCAAACCATTTTCACTTTTTTATAGGATTCCGTCGAGATGGAGGTTGGGAGGGAAGAGGCATTAAACTTAAGTATTAGTAGCAGTGACAACATTTAAAACACAAAAAGTTCTTTCTGATCAACGGAACGTACTGGCGTCGACAGCTTTCCGGGTAATCTTGGGGTACTTTTGGAACTTGACGTAGTAGTAGCTTTCATATTCCATCAAAATGGTCTCCAGATCAACGTTGTCGCACACTTCAAAACGGCGCAACCCAAATTTTGTTTTCTTGTTCCAGTGCGTTAGCAGCATCTACGTACCTGGGAGTTAGAAAGTTTCAGTGTATGACTGAGGCTTGAGAATGGTACCCCGTTTCCCCGAAAATAAGACATCCCCTGATAATAAGCCCAATCGGCTTTTGAGCGCATGCGCTAAAATAAGCCTTCCCCTGAAAATAAGCCCTCCCCGAAAATATTTAAAATATTTAAATGTATTTAAATATTTATATTTAAATACCTGGAAATCAGGTAAGATGGCAAGAGGAGCCCCATCTTGTTCCATGCACCTCAAAATAATAAGATCTCCCCGAAAATAAGGCCAAGCGCTTATTTCAGGGTTCAAAAAAATATAAGACAGGGTCTTATTTTCGGGGAAACACAGTAGTCATTTACGACATGACCGATTTATACAGGGGAAAAAAGGGAAAAGTATAAATAACAGAATCAGGATCGCCGTTCAGGAATAAAATATTTCTGCATTTTCTTGCGTGTGTTAGATTTCAATTCCCTATCATGCTGAATCACATTGGCTGGGACTGATGGGACATATAGTAGGGAAGAAAGCTGAACTTCATTATCAGAGACCCTATGAAGTTCGCTTATGGCAACAATTACAGTTTTGTAATATGTATCTTCTAAAGCCAATGAATGCTTACCCTTCGTCTGTTAAATAATGTAAAATCAAAATAAGGAGATTTTGCGCCGGGCTTCTGTTCGGATGTGTTCCTACGAACAAAAAAAAAAAAAAAAAATAAAATATATAACTCTGTAAAGCATGCATTGGTGACTTGTAGATTGTAGGCTACCTGGGAAAATCAGTCAAGTTTTTAGTAGGTATTTTTTATTATATCATTGCGCTTGAGTTTTCACGTTTCAAGAATTTCTGAGCTATAATCAACATACTACATTTGGATCTATACATGACTATCCTAGCGTTAGTAGGAGGGGCGGGGTCGGTGGGGCCAGCCAGGAGTGGGATTTGGGGGTTCTCCGAACTGCACAGAATCTTAGCTAGAGGTTCTCCCCGAATCCCAGCAAACCCCCACCAGCCCACCCCTGAGTTTAGGAAGCGATAGCTTGTCCAAGCCATCTCTCTCCCCACCTCTGCAAGAGAGGAAATTCTGGGAAATGCGAAAAGGGATAAGAAAATACACAAAATACTGTTTAGGCAATCAGGCATAGGACATGAGAGAAAGGTAGATGAAAAGAGAAGCGGATGACCAGCAGAAAGGAAGGATGGAAGTTACAGTGGTGATAGGGACAACCGCTGGAAAACCTGAAGAACCAGGTTGTCGTGGAGAAAATCTATTTAGAGGATTGCTAAGAGTGAGCATCGATCTGACGGCACCTAATCCAATTAATCAGTCAATCAATCAACAGAAATAAATATTCTGCCCTCTGCGGGCTCCTAAATCACAGCATTTCTCCTAGGCAAGATAATCCTCTTTTACTTGAACATATATATCAGAGGTCTTCAAACTTGGCAGCTTTAAGACTTGTGGACTTCAACTCCCAACTCCAGCATAGCTGGCTGGAGAATTCTAGGAGTTGAAGTCCACAAGTCTTAAAGCTGCCAAGTTTGAAGACCTCTGATATATAAACTATTCACTTTTTTGGAATCAACTTCCTTGATGTAATAAGCAAGAATTTGTTAGGAACTGGAGCGCCACCTAGTGGCTCTAAGTGGAAAAGCTCATTTTTTATTTCAACGCCTTTTAGAAAATTAGTGTTTTAATACTAGTAGGAAAGTTGGAAGGAAGGTGTCAACCTGCAGCAAGGTGGATGAACTCAATTGCAGCAGCAATGGGTGCATCATTGGAAGATCTGAAGGGCCAAGTTGGGGACAGAGCTACCACACATCGACTTGATCACACATCAATCTGGCAACCATAAACTGAGTTAACAATCATAATTTCTCGGGTTAGTCTCAGCAGCCAAGGGTTAGAAGGGAAGAAAAGGGGGAGTTATACAGGTAGCCCTGGAGTTACGAGCATAACTGAGCCCAACATTTATGTTGCTAAGTGAAACATTTGTTAAGTGAGTTTGCCCCATTTGGAGACTTTTCTTGCCACAGTTGTTAAGTGAATCATTACATTTGTTACGTGAGTGACAAGGTTGTTAAGTGAATCTGGATTCCCCATTGACTTTGCTCTTCAGAAGGTCGCAAAAGGGGATCACCTGACCCCAGCGACACTTCAACCGTCATAAACATGAGTCAAGCATTGAATTTTGATCACGTGACCATGGGGATGCTGCAATGGCCATTAAGTGTGAAAAATGGCCTTAAGTTTTTCAGTGCCATTATAACTTCCATTTCGGCACTCGGTGCCGAAAAGTTTCGCTAACACTGCTCTATAAAGTATTGTTTATATTCTTAGACCAAACAAACATATCACCCATATCTGCATCCGAGAGTGAAGTGTGCAATCAACAAACATCCATATCAGAGGTGGGTTTCAGCAGGTTCTGACCAGTTCTGGAGAACCGGTAGCGGAAATTTTGAGTAGTTCGGAGAACCGGTAAATACCACTTTTGACTGGCCCCGCCCCCATCTATTCTCTGCCTCACAAGTCCCAGCTGATCGGGAGGAAATGGGGATTTTGCAGTAACCTTCCCCTGGAGTAGGGGGGAATGGAGATTTTACAGTATCCTTCCCCTGCCACGCCCACCAAAACCATGCCACACCCACCAAGCCACGCCCACAGAACCGGTAGTAAAAAAATTTGAAACTCACCACTGATCCATGTGGATTTCTACATTCTACATAATTTGTCCCAGGCACAAGATTAATTCTTTGTAACAAAAAAAAAAAAAAAACCCTCCCAATTAATAAGAGCCTTTGAGCTGCTAAAAATAGTTTATGATAGAAGCTGTGCGTCTTGTACATGCGTAAAAGAACCGAAACACTTAAAAGAACAAAACCTTACTTAAAATTCAGTTTAGGTTTATCATGATTTACACTTGCTCCTCTAATTGCTGTGTAGAATGCGACCATCTTTACAGCTATTGGTATTTCAATAGAGGTTTAAGTGTTTAAAGTTTAATAAGCTCCCAGTCCTAGAACGGGGGAAAAAAATGGGTGTAATTAAAATTTCAATTACTGTAAGGGATTTTTGGTCCATACGATTAATAAAAGCGTAAGGCACTTAAACAGGAGCTGGTTTTAAATGCTAAAAGCGCTTTCCTAATTAGCTTGAATGCTTACAGAGCGCACATTATTCATTTCTTAAAATGCCACACATTGTTTCCCTTTGCAGCTGCCAGTAGATGAATTAGGGTGCAATCAAGATTTAGCAATACAATCAGGCTCTTTTTTTTTCTTCCCCTTCTTAAATGGTGCTGAGGTTGTTCTTCCAATTTTAATAGCCCGGGCCTAGTTTCTTCAGCATTTATCATGGACATTCTGGTGCCTCTTTTCCATCTTCAAGAAGGCACACGAGTCCTATTAAAAAATCGATTAGCGAGTTTAAATGAAAATGAAGTGTGTTCGATGCATGGGTGTCAGAAGAAATGTTATGAATGGTATTCTCTAAAAACCTCCTTCCCTAACAGCAGGGGTGGGTTTCTACTGGTACGCCCCGGTTCGGGCGAACCGGTAGTGGTGGCAGTGGGAGGCTCCGCCCACCAGCCCGGACGTCATCATGGACACTCTGCGTGTGCGCGGGTGCAAAGAGAGCGTGCGTGCTCAGAGTTTCGAACCGGTAGCGAAGTGAACCCACTACTGCCTAACAGGGCACTCTTCAGATGGTAACAGAATAACAGAATTGGTAGGGACCTTGGAGGTCTTCTAGTCCAACCCCCTGCTCAAACAGGAAACCCTCTACCCAGGGGTGAAATTCGGACTGGATCGCCCAATCCAGTAGCGATGGCAGCGGGTGGTTCAGAGAACCGGTAGCAAAAATCCCTGCCACACACACCCTGCCCAGCTGAGCCGCACGATCATCAGAGGCTTTTTTTAAAAATATTTTTAAAAGCATTTTTTCTACAACCTCTTCGGCCGAAAAAATGCTTTTAAAAGTAAAAAAAAAAAAAAGCCTCTGATGATCGTGTGGCTCAGCTGGGATCATCAGAGGCTTTTAAAAGCATTTTCTACAATCTCTTCGGCTGAAGAGGTTATAGAAAAAAATGCTTTTAAAAGCCTCTGACGATCCCAGCTGAGTTGCCTGATTGGCAGAGGCTTTTAAAAGAAAAAAAGCCTCTGCCGATCAGGCAACTCAGCTGGGATTGTCAGAGGCTTTTAAAAGCATTTTTACATGGTTTTTTTTACATGGAAAAAATGTTTTAAAAAGTAAAAAAAAAAAAGTTGGCCACGCCCACCGTCACATTACCCCCCCCACCAAGCCACCCCACAGAACCGGTGTAACACAAATTTTAGATTTCACCACTGCCTCTACCATTTCAGACAAATGGCTGTTCAATCTCTTTGTAAAGATGACAGCTCCTGTCATTCCGTAGCTAGCCAGTTGGCCAGGGTGGAGGCTGATGGGATATGTAATTGGCACATCTGAGGGGCTTCAAATTAGGAAAGGAGGACACCCAGTTGAGTAGATACAGCGCAGGGGAAAAGTATCAAATACTGCATGCATTTTTCTTTATTTTTCTTCAACCAATACAGGTAGTCCTCGACTTAGGACCACAATGAGCCCCAATTTTCTGTTGCCAAGTGAGATGCTTTTTAAGTGAATTTTGCCCCATTTTACGACTTTTCTTGGTAAGTGCAGTTGTTAAGTTTGCAGCATTTGGTCACCACATTACAAATAAGATGTTGAGACTTTGGAAAAAGTGCAGAGAAAAGCAACTAAGATGATTAAAAGCCTGGAAACCAAAACATATGAAGAACGGTTGCTGGAATAGGGGATGGAGTATGGAGGAATTGGGTAATAGAGCTGAGGTGGCGCAGTGGTTAGAGTGCCGTACTGCAGGCTACTTCAGCTGACTGCTAGCTGCAGTTTGGCAGTTTAAATCTCACCAGGCTCAAGGTTGACTCAGCCTTCCATCCTTCCGAGGTGGGTAAAATGAGGACTCAAGATTGTTGGGGGCAAGAGGCTGACATTGTAAACCGCTTAGAGAGAGTTATAAAAACACTATGAAGCGGTATATAAGTCTGTACTATTGCTATGGCCAGTCTAGAGAAAAGAAAGACTTGTTCTGTCCCCAACCACACGCACACACACCAACAGACGTTCAAGAGTTAAAGACCAAACCAGCCGGCAAAATCCTTTTCCTTAAGATAACGGAACTTGGCAACAACCTAGTGGCTGCCTGCCAAGAGTTTATTATTTACGAAGAGAGAGATAACTTCTCCTCACTTCTGATACATCAAAAGAAACAGCTCAATAATTACGGAGTTAATTAAGTCCAGAGATAATCCAGCTAAGTCTTATAGCAAAAGTCCGGCAATGCAGAATGGCGTGGAAGCTTTCAGCTTTGTTCATCACAAGGTTTGACTGGCCACCACGCTCCCTTTTATATCCTGCGAGGTGTGGTCCAGTGACTCAGCCTAATCTCGGGCACGCCTTTTCTTCTGTTGCGTGCGCTTATCTTTGCGACGCTGGCATGGATCCAGCCAAGACTCATTACCCTCATCACTGTCCACCTGTGGCTGCGTGGACATGCTTGGCCCCCCCCCTATCTCTTGCCCTTCGGCGGACACCGAAGACATTGCCAGAGAGGAGGGTCCTGGAGAGGGAGGCCTTGCCAACTCCTCTTCTTCACTCTCGGAGTCCTCTCCTCCTGCCGATGACACAGGCTCAGGTAACGGAGCCACAACAGGATTAGGGGGAATATGATAGCAGAATTCCACTATTTGAGAGGCTGCCACAAAGAAGAGGGAGATCAACTTATTTTCCAAAGCACCTGAGGCAGGACAAGAACCAATGGATGGAAACTAACCAAGGAGAGAAGCAACCTGGAATTAAGGAGAAACTTCCTAACTGTGGACAATTAACCAGTGGAACAGCTTGCCTCCAGAAGTTGTGGGTGCTCCATCACTGGAGGCTTTTCAGAAGAGATTGGGCAACTATTTGCCTGAAATGGTATAGGATCTCCTGCTTGAGCAGGTGGCTGGACTAGACGACCTCCAAGGTCCCTTCCAGCTCTATTCTGATTGATTGATTGATTGGATTACCCATTGACTTTGCTCTTCAGAAGGTCGCAAAAGGAGATCACATGATCCTGGGACATTGCAATCGTCAAAAATATGAGTCAGTTGCCAAGCATCTGAATTTTGATCATGTCAGATCATGTCTGGACTATTGTAATGCTCTCTACATGGGGCTCCCCTTGAGGTGCACTCGGAGGCTCCAACTGGCGCAGAGTGCGGCCGCGCGGGTGGTTATGGGAGCGACGTGGAGTTCCCATGTAACACTTCTCCTGCGCGAACTGCACTGGCTCCTGGTGGTCTTCCGAGTGCGCTTCAAGGTTTTGGTTATCACCTTTAAAGCGCTCCATGGCTTAGGACCTGGTTATCTACGGGACCGCCTGCTACCACCAATAGCCTCCCACCGGCAGATGAGAGGGGGCTCCTCCGGGTGCCGTCGGCCAAACAATGTCGATTGGCGGCCCCAGGGGGACAGTCCTTCTCTGTGGGGGCACCTATGATCTGGAACGAGCTCCCCCCGGAGATACGGAGGATCCCGGATATTCGCACCTTCCGTCGCGCACTTAAGACTTTTTTATTTCATCAAGCTGGCTTGGCCTAAATCTTCTCCCCTTTTTAAATGTAAATTTTAATTTGTTTTTTAAATTATGGGGTATTTTAAATTTGTTCAGCCAAATTATTTAATTCGTTTTTATTCTATTTTAAATTTTTGTATTTGTGTGTTTTATCCTGTGGCTGTTCACCGCCCTGAGTCCTTCGGGAGTAGGGCGGTATAGAAATTTAGTAAAATAAATGTGACCGTTGGGGCATCCAGTGTCACAATGGTTACAACGGTTGTAAGCGTGAAAAATGGTCATAACTCACTTTTTTCTGTGCTGTTATAACTTCAAATGGTTGCTAAATGAACTGTTGTTAATCCAGGATGACCTTTTATGCAGAACCCTGGCAATTCTGTAGGATGGTTTGGAGAATGCTTAGAAATTGACAGCGCTTCAGTCAAAGTATATACAAAAGAATGAAGGCTATTGCTATAAGTGCATTGTAAGCTGCCCTGAGTCTTCGGAGGAGGGCGGCATATAAATTGAAATAATAATAATAATAATAATAATAATAATAAAATAATAATAATAATAATAATAATAATTTCTCCAAGGTGTGGCCAGGTGCTCTGAGTTTGATCTACTTGCTACTTGACTAATATTCTCCAGAAGTTTCAAAGGTGCTTTTTCAAGAGGCAACTGGACTTTCTGGTTTTTCTTTAAAGACGTTTCGCTTCTCATCCAAGAAGCTTCTTCAGCTCTTCAACCCAGGCTGAGAATCTCCATAGATGTTCTCCAGAAGTCGATATTTATCCATGTCCCTTGAAGACTGACCTCAAGCAATCCAACATTTTTTCCTACTTGTTTTTAATCCCTAACCTATTTTGACTGATCTCAGAAAGAATCCCTTTTATGTATTGCAAGTGGTTCTGGGCAGGGGTGGGTTCTACTTACCTTTACTACAGGTTTGCAACGGGATCGCACGCGCGCTTGCTTCACTCAAGCGTATGCTTTGCTTTTGCGCACGCGCTGATGATGACATCCAGGGTGGTGTGCAGGGCCTCCTGCCGGATTTACTATCGGTTCTTATGAACCCGTCCGAACCGGGGGCAACCCACTACTGTTTCTGGGACACCTTCCTTGATCAGTGGTGCAGACAGACCTATGACTTCCCCAAAACCTTACATGTAAATATGCCTTGCAATGTTTCTGCAAGGTAGGATGAATTATGCAATCTTCTTGATTGCACTAAAGAACAAAAAGCTGAGTCTGGAAATTTTATGAGAGATAAAGAGAAGAACCTGAAAGGGGAAGAAGATAAACAAAAACAAATTTCATTATTCCTAGTTTGCTTCATTCAGAAATCAGGCCTTCTGTAATTTCTTTTCCTAGTTTTCTATTGGTGACATGACTCAATGAAGGCAATTTTAAAATACACGAAAAGCAACATATGCCAGAGATAAGACTTCCACTCTACAGCCCTCAATGTCTATAAAAAATTTTCTTTGCTATTGTTCAGAGTCTCACTTTATTGTAAAGCAAACACCCAATGATCATTGTTATAATTATGGTTTTTCTCAACATTGTGCTCCTTTCTGTAGTAACTGAGAGGGATCTTGGAATTACTTAAAATATAAACCAGGGTTGTGCTGCAGCTGCCAAAGAAAGCCAACACAGTTCTGGGCTGCATAAACAGAGGGATAGAATCAAGATCACGTGAAGTGTTAACACACTTTATAATGCCTTGGTAAGGCCACACTTGGAATACTGCATCCAGTTTTGGTCACCACCATGTAAAAAAGATGCGGAGGCTCTAGAAAGAGTGCACAGAAGAGCAAAAGATTAGGGGATTGGAGGCTAAGACATATGAAGAACGGTTGCTGGAACTGGGTATGTCTAGTCTAGGGGTAAGCAACCTGCGGCTCTGGAGCTGCAGCTCACTCATTGTCAGGCCAATTTCACCCGCTGGCATTCATTCATTCGCAGCTGAGACACAGGGTGGCTACAATGCATGCAATGTTCATACTTTGTATATACCTGCTTAGTACTGCCCCCCCTAAGCGTGCGACAAAGTCACACCCAGCATTTTACAACCTCGAAAGAATCTTGAGCCTTGAGATTTGAACTTGCAGTAATTGCAGCCAGCTGGTGCTACTTAACAGCACTTTAGTCTGCTACCAAGGCTCAAGGCAAATATTGAGCTAAATCCAAGAAAAGAAAAGTTTCAGAAGAAAACAGAACGTTTAATTCAGCTACATATGCTAGTTTTGTGGCTGCTCAAGAAATAATCAAGCCCGGGAAGGTTTTGTGGCTCCCAGTGTTTTCTTTTCTGTGGGAAACGGGTCCAAATGGCTCTTTGAGTGTTTAAGGTTGCAGACCCCTGGTCTAGTCTGATGAAAAGAAGGACTCGGGAGACTTCAACGAAACTTAGCTCAAACACCTATAGAGCCAGCTATGACCCCTACATAACCCCATGGGACTCTGACAACAACCAATAGAATACATGTTCTTGCACAGGAACAGGGAGCTCAAGGGCAAAGCCCAGAGAAGGTATAAAAGCCACCCGCTCTCAACTCCATGCGGTTCTGCTTCACCGTTAAACCATCTTTCCAATCAGCCTCCATGTTTCCAGTGTCTTTCTCCAGGCTTGGCACTGAACCAGATGGACATTTCTTCCAACAAGGCTTTGGCCTGGCCTGAAATTAAGGGGCTGGGAAAGGCAGGACACCTGGAAGGCATCCCTGAGGATGGGAAGCTCCAGCCTTTCTGCTTTTCTCCTCCCCACGTTCCAAGCACTGCTCTTTAACGGGAGCTCGGAGGAAGCAAAGGCCGAGGCCCAACTTCCACTGGAAGGCCTCAAACTGTTTCAGGTCAATATTTTCTGCAAACATCCCATTTCTCCACACACACCCCCGCCATGGCGCTAATACGCATGCGCGGCCCGGGCGCGACTCTTTTCCAACGCGCGTGCGCCACGAGCCCCGCCCCCCCCTTCGCCTCACGGTTACCATAGTTACTGGGCAAAACAGGAACGGACTCTCGTTTCACTCACTTCTTCTTTGGCCTGGTGCGTCGTTCTCAACGACTGATACGTCAGCTCCATTTCGAGAGTGCGACTGAAGGAAAAGAAGAAGAAAAAAAAACACAACCCAACCCGAGACGACTCCGCGTTGCTATTCCGTTAGGGCTTTTTTTTTTTTTTTTTAAAGCTCCATCGCTTCCCTCAGCGGCGCTTTTCATCCGAGAAAGAAGGCGGACCAATCAATGTCCCCCAATAGCCAATACTGACAGGCGAGGGGTGGGGTTAAAAGCGAGCCGGCGAGCCCAGCCAATCGATTAGAATGTAAAAGGAGCGGAAGGCGGGGTTGTTTGGAAGGTGGCCAATCACGAGGGGGGGGGAGAAATTAGCCAATGACGGCACTGCAAAATGAGTCGCCGACACTTGTATTTCCTTCTGCCAATGGACCGGAAGCTGGTGACGTAATAGGGATGGCCTGAATTGAGTTGCGCTGGGGAGCGTATTTGATTGACAGCGGCCGTTAGGTAGAGTTCACACGGTGGAATGCGGTTTGATCGCTTCGGTCCCCGCGTGCTTTGGGAAGGTTTGCTGGGCCAGGATTTTAGGCAGATTATATCTCTGTCGTAATAATCTGCTCACACAGATTTTATGCCATGATTATTAACTGGGCCAAGTAATTTTAGAGAGAGAGGTGCAAAATGATTAGGAGACTGGACTGGAGGCTGAAATATACCACGAACAGTTGCAGGAACTGGGCCTGGCTAGTCTAGTGAAGAGAAGGACCAGGGGAGACATGAGAGCAGTCTCCCAATATTTGAGGGGCAACATGGTAGTCAAATTGAACTACATCCTTGCATCATTTATTTCATGCTTTCTTATAACAGTTATTTTGAAAGGACATGATATATTAAGCCATACAATAAATTTAGTAGTCCGAATTGGCAATTGTGGCTCTTTTACAACCTGTGGACTTCAACTCCCAGAATTCCTGAGACAGCTTGGCTGTCTCAGGAATTCTGGGAGTTGAAGTCCACAGGTTGTAAAAGAACCACAATTGCCCATCCCTGCGACTAGGTTAAAATGTGATCGGCAAATTTATGGTCCGGGATGTTTCTTGTAACATGCAAGAAAAACAAACTTTAATGTTTCATGCTGATTACGGACAAAACTTTTGAAAGAAGAATAATAAGCATGCCTGCACAGTACTCTTGAGCCGGAGATTTACAGATTATATTTTAGTCCATTAGGTTATGCAGAAGCAGCTCAAGAAGTTACTTTTCAGTGTGTGTTATACATATCCTGAAAACGGGCCTAACTGAAATTGCTTCAGTTGACCATGGGTAAGAATTTTATATAATAAAATTATCTCTAAAAAAAAAAAAAACTTTGGTTTTACCTTACCAGCTAAACCTGAATTAATAAAGTATAATTGCTATGTTCAAACAACAGGCTATGCCCAGATATATTTGTTGTGGCTTAATTGGATGGCCTGTTCATACATGCCAAAACAATCGTTGGCTTCCTAACATGACTCCCTACAAAGTCATTTTAGTTCAAACTGTTGTGATGTGTGAATTTAGCCAGTGTGGTAAGCTTATGATTCATTATGTATTGCAACCCCAGGCAACAGTATATATTAAACCGTGAGTGCATTATTCAAACTCAGCAAAAAGTAAATATGGTTTAAATAAAAAAAATACAGCATCAGTCAAAATTAATGTGTCCTAGTAAAGCTGGTGTAGAACTGTAACAGTTGATTTTAGGTGGAGAGGAGTTTTGTGGCTTCATACCTCTAATTTGAATAACTGCCTGTGTAACATATTATGAAAACGTTCCCAGGTGTTGTAATAGGGTTTCTTTAATTCTAATATAAATTACTAGCTTTCTTATCTTTCTGTATTTGGATTGGGTTACACTAAAATCATAGATTGTAAGAGTTGGAAGAAACCAGAGAGATCATCAACTCCAACCCCCTGTCCAGTACAAAAACACCTACTAGACTATCTTTGAAGGGTGGCCATTGAAACTTCCCAGCAAAGAAGAGTATATCACCTCCCAAGGCAATCTGTTTCATTGTTGAATAGTTCTCATTAGATTCTATTTTTCACGACGTCTGACCAAAATTTACTTGCCCATAATTTTAAGGGTTTCTGTTGTATTTTCTGAGACTCTAAAAGAGTGCAAAGAAGAGCAACAAAGATAAGTAGGGGACTGGAGGCTAAAACGTGATAAACAGGAACTACGGTAGCTATGTCTAGTCTAATGAAGGACTGATAGCAATCTTCCAGTATCTAAAGGGCTGCAAAAGAAGAGGAAGTCAACCTATTCTGCAAAGCACCTGAAGGCAGGACAACAAACAATGGATGGAAAGTTGTCAAATGGAGATCCAACCTAGAAATAAAAAGTAATTTTCTGAAAGTGACGATGATCATTGGACCGGCTTGCCTTCAGAGGTTGTGGGTGCTCCATTATTGGAGGTTTTTAAAAAAAGGGTTTGGGCAGCTATTTGTCTGAAATGGTATAAAGTCTCCTGAGTGAGCAGGGAGCTGGACTACGAGACCTCCAAGGTCCCTTCCAACTCTTATTCTGGGACAACCTGATAACTCTGCTTGGTCTTCTATGAAGTCTGCTTGCAGTCTTCTCTTTGCCAGGCTAAAGTTTACCAGCCTTTCCTTCCAGACCTCTTGGTATCTATTCTCTGGATTGTCAATGCCATTCCTAGATTGTGTTAACCAGAACTGGATATAATCATTTAGGTGAGATCTGACCAATGCAAAGTAGAAAAGAATTATGATCTTTCTTAATTATCACACTATCCTTCTATTTATGCAGCAGTTGGAAGACCCCTGCTTATTTTGCAGCTGGACCATTGTTCACTAACAAATATATTGGCAAGTACAGAATAAAGAACAGAATAGAATAAAGTTAAATGGTACACCATTTAATACTGTCCAACTTGACATGGAACCAATGCAGTGGTGAAATCCGCCCGGTTCTATTCGGCTTGCCAAACCAGTAGCACCACGGCGGGAGGCTCTGCCCACCCACCAGGGCGTCATGATGTCCCCGTATTTTTACCTTCTGCGCATGCGCAGAAGAGGCGGGTGCGTGTATAGCCCGTGCACCCTCCCGCGCGCTCCCGTTCCCAAACCGTTAGCTAAGGTAAGTGGATTTCACAGCTGAACCAATGACACACTTGTTGAATATGACTGATTATTAACATAAGCCAGTTCACATGCTGTCAGTTTTACTAGAGATTTCATGGGCCAATTAGTCAAATACTTTGCTAAATTCCAGCTAAACTACAAAATTCCTGGGGTCACTTATCAAAAAAGGAAATTGTCCTAGTTTGGCTTAATTTATTCTTGACAAACCCATGCTGGCTCCTGCTAGAAATGCTTAAAAACCAACTGCTGAATATTACACAATTATGATCAATAATGATGCCAGGCTGACTGTCTGAATTTACCCAGCTCTTTTATTTTATTCTTTTTGAAGTCAGGAACATTCCCCTTCTCCAGTCTTCTGGGGCTAAACCCATTCATGAATTCTCAAAGGTCAGAGCTCTGAAATAACATCCATAAATCTGTCAAGATTTGTAATTGAGCTGCTCCTGAGAGTTAAACTCATTCATGGCAGCTAGTAATCATTATTAACTAACTTGGTTTGCTACTTTCGATCTTAATTGCTCTGTTTAGGGTTTATTTGAAGTTTCCCCTGGGGAAGACAGAAGCAAAATAGCAGTTTAGGAGCCCTTCCCTCTATAATGCTATTGTCCTACAATCTTTGGAACTTTTGCAGGATTCAAACTATTTTTCTTACTTTCAACAGTCCACTTATCTCTGTGTCGGTTCATGTAAAACCAAAGTTGATAAAGATTTTATCATAATTCCATTTCTCTTTGAGCTTAATTTCTCAAAATGTATAAGAATCAGCAACTCTGCAATTTGTTTTCCCTGTCTTGCCCATTTTCTCTATCCTCTGCATTTATATTGTAGTTAATGATGTAATCTTGAAACATGTTCATGTTATATTAAAATATTAGACTTAATATGCTATAGCACCATGACGGCTAACCTATGGTATGCTGAGCCATATCTGTGGGCACCTAGCTCAGTGTTGCCTTAGCTCAGCTCCATGCGCATGTGCACGTGGGCCAACTGATTTTTGGCCTACCGGGCTCACTGGAAGTTGGGAAACTGTCTGTTTCCAGCCTCCCGGGGGGCGGGGGGGGAGAGGCCATTTTCGCCCTCCCCAGGCTCCTAGAAAGCCTCTGGAGCTTGGAGAGGGAGAAAAATGGGCCTTCCAGTCCCACCAGAAGTCAAGAAATGAAACATTTCTGGCTTGGGGGGGAGGGAAGGCCATTTTTACCTTTCCCAGGCTCCTAAAAAGCCTCTGGAGCCTGGGGAGGGCAAAAAACAGGCCTTCTGGCTCCACCGGAGGTGGGGAAATGGGCTACTTCCGGCATCCAGAGGGCCTCCGGGGTGGGGGGAGGCAGTTTTCACCCTCCCCAGGATCCTAGAAAGCCTCTGGAGCTTGGGGAGGGTGAAAAACGGGCCTCCTCCGTCCCACCAGAAGTCAGGAAATGGGACATTTCTGTCCTCTGGGGGGGGGGGCCCATTTTTTCCATCCCCAGGCTCCAAGAAAGCCCCTGGAGCCTGGGGAGGGCGAAAAGCGGGCCTACCTGGCCCACCATGCCATCATGTGCCAAAAGCGGGGGGAGCATGGCGGAGGTCACACGTGCATGCAGGGCACATTGAATTATGGGTGTGGGCATGCACGTGCACGCCCCCCCCCACACCTCCCGCTTTTGGCACGTGACGGCAAAAAGGTTAGCCGTCGCTGCTGTAGCCTCATCTTAAGGGAAGAAGTTGAAAGTTTATGTCCAGGATGTGAAGGGTCTGTAGAACTTTTCACAGCCCCCTTTCTGGCTCATGCATTATACAAGTTCTGTTGTGGCCCGCCAGCGGATCTGGCAGCAGATTTGGACAGTGAGGAGGTTGGGGAGGAACACGGGCCAGTCCTGGAGTCTAGGGAAGGCTCTGATGAGGGCTCTATGTCGGAGGCAGAGAGGGGGCCAGGCCCGGATGCCAGTTATCAGCTGCCTTCAGAGTCAGACATCAGAGGGGCAGAAGAACAGCTGGAGCCTGTTCCCAGTGTGGGCATGCACAGAGTTGCCAGATGAAAGGAACAGCTAAAGAACAAGGGTCGACTTGGGAGTAAGGCCACAGGTGGACAATGAATGGCCCCTCCCAGATGGAATAAAAAAGGAGAGAAAGGGGAGTGAAGTTTGCAGGAGACAATTAGTTCATTACTGCATTCTTGCCAAGCATTGCGGTGTCTTATCGGCCTGGCCACTCTCCAAGGCTGACAAAAGGTCGGTAATTGTGAACTATCTTGAAAGACTGTGGGAGAGGAATTCACTGTAAATTAAATAAAAGGGGATTAAGGAGTCGTCTTTATGCTGCTGGGGAAGCCAGTAATTAACAGCAATTTTGGGCTCCACTTATGGTCGTAAGTCGAGGACCACTTGTACTGCTCTCCTAAAAAGGCAGGCAAAGGATCCGGGGTTTTTTTTTGGCAATAGTTTTTTGCTCTCCAAGCTCGTTTCAATTTATTTCCGAACGTTTCGTGACCACACCATGTAACCTCATCAAGCAGGATTTCCTTGTCTTATTCCTCTTTAGCTTATCAACGTCCCGTCCTTTCAAAAAGAGGCCCTTTTGCACGGAACCCCACAAGGCTCCCCGGACCAGGGTCATCTTCCTCCCTTGTCTCTCTGGAGGACCATTTCCCTCAGATTTCTCAATCCCAACCCCGAGAATTCCGACGAGCAAGTAGCGCTTCCCTCAGCCCACGACCGGCCCGACTGCCTCAGTCGCGGGCCCGGCAACGGCAGAAGCGGGAGCCCTTTTTTTAAAAAAAATATTTATTTATTTTTCCGCGCCTCGCACGAAAAGAGCGGGAAAAGCGCGCTCGCGCTCGAGCCCCGCCCCTTTTAACGGCCGCAGTCGGGTGGGCGGGGCCACGGGGCGGTCCGGCCCCCCCCCCCGCCTCGCGTCAGCGCGGAGGAGGAGGAGGAGGCGGCGGCATCGGGCGACCCTGCAGGATGGTGGCGGCGGCCGCGGCGGCGTCGGTGCCGGCGGCGGAGGCTGAGCCAGGCGGCGGGTAGAAAATGGCGGATTTCGAGGAGCTCAGGGTGAGCGCGAGCGGGGCCGCCTCCCCCCCCCCACACCCCCCCCCGCCCGGGGAATCCTCCCTCCTCCCGTGAGCCCCGGTTTTTGGGGGGGAGGGGACGCTCTTCCTTTCCTTCCTCCCTCCCCTCCCAACGGACTCCCCGAGGCTGATGGGAATTGTAGTCCGACGCCTGGGAGTCGCGCGCAGGGTCGGGGGGGGCAAGCCTGGCGGCTCCTTTCCTCCCTCCCATTCTCGGTCTTTATATATATATATATAAATATTATATATAAATATATATATAAACACCCCCCTCCCAACCTTCGTTTCCTTCCGGTCGCCCTCGGACTACAAGGCCCATCTTCCTGGCCCTGCCGGACTCTCGTCCCGGCGGGAGGCTTCTGAGGGCTCCCAGAGGTCCCTCTCGGCGCTTCGGAAAGCAGGTGAAAACAAAGGGAGGGCTTCTTCCCACGTTCGCGGGGGGGGGGCGAGGGGGGGAGGGAAGGAAATCCGTGGGTTTTTTTATTATTATTATTTATTAATCGCCACAGGAGGGGAGCCCGACTGAACTTGGCTGCCTCACCTGCCCCCCCCCCCCCATTTCCTAAGTCACCCCTATCAATCCCTCTAATTTTCCAAATCACCTCTACCAGACCTCTCTTTACTTCCCAATCACCCCTATCAGCCCCCCCCCTATTTTTTAACTCACCCTAAACCCCTCCCTTATTTCTTAGGTCACCCCATCAATTCTTCTAATTTCCCAAGTCACCCCTATCAGCCCCCCCTTATTTCCTAAGTTACTCTTATCAGCCCCCCCTATCACCCGCCCCCCCTATTTTTTAACTCACCTCCCCCCCTAACTCACCCTACCCCTCCCTTATTTTTTAGGTCACCCCATCAATTCTTCTAATTTCCCAAGTCCCCCTATCAGCCCCCCTTATTTCCTAAGTTACTCTTTATCAGCCCCCCCATCAGCCCCCCCCCCTATTTTAACTCACCTGCCCCCCCTAACTCACCCTAAACCCCTCCCTTATTTTTTAGGTCACCCCATCAATTCTTCTAATTTTCCAAGTCACCCCTATCAGCCCCCCCCCCTTATTTCCTAAGTTACTCTTTATCAGCCCCCCTATTTTTAACTCACCTGCCCCCCCTAACTCACCCTAAATCCCTCCCTTATTTCTTAGGTCACCCTTATCAGTCCCCCCCATTATTTTCTGTCTCCCCTAAACCCCTCCCTTATTTCTTAAGTCATCCCATCAATCCCTCTAATTTCCCAAGTCACCCCTATCAGCCCCCCTTATTTCCTAAGTTAGCAGCCCCCCCCCTTATTTTTTAACTCGCCTTAACTCCCTTATTTCTTAGGTCACCCTTATGTCCCCCTTAGAATAGAATAAAATAGAAGTTTTTATTGGCCAAGTGTGATTGGACACACAAGGAATTTGTCTTGGTGCATATGCTCTCAGTGTACATAAAAATAAAGATACATTCATCAAGAATCATAAGGTACAGCAGACTTATCCTTTGTCTAAGCTTCCCCTAACAATTCCCCTTATTTCTTAAGTAAGAACCCCCTTCCTATTTTATTAACTCATCCCTAGCCCACGCCTTTCTCCAAGCAGTACCTCCTTTTGTGTTTCTCAGACGTTTCCTTTCCCACCAGCAATCCACTCAGTTTGGCTTCACCTATGGCCCAGAACGATGAGCTTTTGTGTCCCTTCATAGCCTATAGCTCTGGAGTTACTCAGTCCATGTTTCTCCTTTGCCTCCTTCCCAGCCTCTCTTTCTACTCAAGTTTGTTCCATGTCAGACAAGAAAAACAGCTTCGTTTCTCACTTTCATAAAAAGGGATTTTTGGAGACTATTTATTTTTTTCCTGTGCTTATTATCCACCTAACCCCTTCTCGGATCCTAATTCTATTTTTCCTTTGTTGCGTCCTCCCCTCCATTCTCAGAAAGGCCCTTTTCTTTTAAGCTGCTGCTTTACCCTGCTGGGTTTCATTCCCTCAATTGAACCACAGAAAGTACCAGGCCTTCTCCGAGTATCAGGATCCAGTATAATATTCAACATACTTGAGAGGCAGTCCCATCTATTGTTGAGACCTGTTTAAAAAAATAGGCAAGGTTGGGCTTTTAATCTCTGGGTTTTATTCCTGGAGTCCTGATGCGAAGATACTTTCCTGAAGAAGTCTGAAAGCCTTTATAGGCAATCTGCTTTTGAATTCATTATTGTTAGATACAGATCACTGAGCTGAAGATAATACTCATGGATTATGTCACTTCAGTTAACAAAATCTAACAATGCAATTATATATAAATCCAATTATAAAAATAAAAAAATAAAATGCTTTGTAGATTTAACTATAGGTAATTTTCACTTAATGACCAGTCACTTAGCATCTGTTTGTAGTTATGATGGGCCCCTCTCCCAAAAGGTACTTGGGATCCAATTCTAGGTTTCTGAAGGTGGCAACCCTTGTGATAACAAGGCAAGCTTGGCAGCTGCCTTTGCCTTAAGGCCAGTTTATATATTTATATTTATTTTTCACACTTCTTAACCTGCTATCTCTTCAAATTTGGAGCCCTCTGCAGTCATGTCATGCTGTTTACGGCTGTTTTAGCCAGAAATTGGCCTTTTCAGTCAATTTCCAGGAATAAACACCCGTAGGAATACATTGACTTGCTTAACAATTGCCACGTTTGTTTAACAACTGTTGCAAAAAAGATTGTAAAATCAGATTGGTCGCAAGGGTGACTTGATTTGCAACTGTCGTGATTTATGACAGAAATTCTGGGCTCCATTTTGGTCATAAATCAAGGACTATTTGTATACCACTATCTCTTGTATATCTTATGACTTCAAACTCTTTGTATTTTGTTTTGTTTTTTATGTCCTGAAGCTGATTGTATTGGGGAGGGGGGATATGCAGGTTCTAACTTTGTTTAGTTACGATTTTATTCTGACATTAAACTTACACTTTTTAGTGCACAAAATATTTTTATTAATGGCCAAAGAGAGAAGAATAAAAGTACAAGTATGATTTGAAAGAATCTTCTTGAACTGCTGTTTCCTTTCCCCCAGTATCTTCTATTTAATTTGATTTTAGTGTTTCAGATGAAGCTCAAATTTTAATTTATGGCACAGTCTTTGGAAAGTTTATTGGCCTAAGAGCTGTTAAAAAAGGGAAATTAAGATGTATAGTTTAACAATACCTCCATGTGTATTAAATACTCTTAACTGAGAATTCTGTCCTGATTTTTTAAAAAATATGTTCTACATATTTGGTTTCTCCTTCCATTGTGGAAAATTTCTCCCGTGAAACATTAAATGGCAACCTGACATGTTCAGTATTGATTAACCAAATAATAATGTTGAAATGAAGAGATGGTTTTGTAATGTAAAGTACTTGAAATTGCAAAAGTATATTTCTACTCATTTCTTTTGTCATTTATCACAGTGCTATTAGGGCCATGCTGTGTTTTGGAGAGAAAATTGTTTTGGGGTGATTGCAGGTGCGCCGATAACAGCTGAGAACTACTCAGATTAAGTGAGACTTTTCCCAGGATTGCATTGTAGCTATAATCCTGGGAAAACACACAGCTTCTTTAAGGAACTGCTAACAGGTGCTGTGTGAGAGAGGTCCTTGGTGCTCTCTGAGCTTAGTTGCTTTCTTGCAGACTTTTCATTACCCAAACTAGGTAACATCAGTCCTAGCACTAATGTTAGAACTAGCACCTCTGATGTTACCTAGTTTGGGTAATGAAATTTATGCAAGAAAACAACCAAGCTCAGAGAGCACCAAGGACCCCTCATTTCAACCCTGAGCTACCAATATTCTCCTTTATTGGTGCTGCATGTATTCCTGCACACCTGAAAACACCAATTTCTCTTAAAATTGAAAGACTAGACACCATCCAAATAATACAAGTCAAAGTGGAGATGAGGTTGGATTTTACAAGAAGATAGCAAAATATGTCCCCAAACTCCAAGAGGAATAAACTTCAGAAGTCGCATAAATATGTATTATACAGATAATACTCACTTAATGATGAAATTAGGGATAGGAAACTTCATCACATAGCACCACAGGTGTAAATTGTGACATCATGTGACTGATATCTCAGGGGGAAAGTGGGGGGTACTAAAAATGAGAAAAAACATATGTGTCTCTGGAAACACTTCAGTTAGAAAACTGTGGAGTATAGTCTAATAAAAAGCATTAGGCTCTTTCCCATGTTAATTTATGGGGAAACTCAAGCTTAAAAATTGGGAAAAAGAGAATGATAAGGAAAAAAAATGAACAGAAGCAGGGACTTTTTACCAGTTGATAGATGATGATGGTGTATTTTTAACATACTCTGTGTCAAGAGACAAATATCATCTACCATAGCAATCCCCAACATTTCAGACTTAGTGGACCAGTGGAGGGGAGGGAGGGAGAGGGAATGGTAGGCAAGTGTGCATGCTATTCCCATTTGTGTGAGTGGCAGGCACACGTACACCCTACTCGCACAAATGGAACTGCACACATGCACTCACCCCTTGCTTCTGCAGCCTGGTTCCAAATGAGCAAAGGCCCAGTAGTGGGCTGCGGCCCAAGGGTTGGGGACCCCTGATCCACCAGATGTAACCCAGTGGCAATATTAATAATCACAACATTTGTTAACAAGCATCTGAATTTTGACCACATGCCCATAGAGATGCTGCAACCATCGTAAGTGGGAAAAAAGGGCCATAAGTTTTTTTTTTTTTTTTGGGTGCATTATACCTTTGAACGGTTGCTAAACAAACTGTTGTAAGTCAAGGACTATCTGTATATAAAAGCTTTGATTGTCATTAGAATAATGAGAGTAGATTTGACAATCATGATATATGGAAGATTGTAACTGGCAATGTAAAAAGGAGTAAATGAGAACAAGTTGGCAAATGGAATGAATGAAAATAGGTGCATGTGAAACCAAGAAAAAAGGAAGGATGTGCTAATTCTTAGAACATGGTGCCATGAAGTTCCTTTCCACATGAAGGAAATTGTAGGTTTTATCATGAATTAAAGAGTGAATGTATACAACAAAATTTGCTTTATATCTTTAGTTGTTGTGGGAACATGCTGGTAGAAATAGATTTGTGAGAGTTGTATGTTAACAATGGAAAAACCCAGAAATAACCTAAGGAAAAAAATGTAACAAAAGGAAAGCAAAAAGCGAACAACTGCAGGAATGGAAAGTATGAATTCTATCTTAAAATGTATTAGATGACATTAATCTCCCAACAAACAATGGAAAATGTATATAAGAAAAGAACATGGGGGATCCTTTCAACAGCATGGAAAAATGATATCACCCAGTGCTATACAAGAATGTGTGATGCTAATGAGAATGATGAAAAAGGATGATTGGTGGGCCTGCGATTGAAGAAAAATTGCATATAAGAGAATGCTGGAAAAGTGAGAGAAATGAAAGAATATTGTAGAAAGAATGTTGCATGAAGAAAGAGAGTTTTGATTCTATGTTGTGACAGAGGTTTCCTGAGTCATTAAAACACAGGAGTAATCCCAAAAACCTCTTTTATTGCAACAGCTGTGAATTACATTCATTCACAGCTGAGTTCCAATTAGTTGCAAAAAGTCCTTCTGGAGAAGTCCTTCGGGATAATCACCAACCTTTATCTCCCTTGACACGCTGCCTTGACACTCTCCCTTGACACCAACTTGGCAAAGCCACATGGATTCCAGAATCAAACAGAGATGCCGACTGGGGACAGAATTAACAACGTTGCTTTCCTGCAAAATGCCGTGCCTTTGCTCCTCTTTTAAGCCTATGGGAGGGGTCAATCATCTCCAGGCCTTACTCCCGAGTCATCCCTTTTGTTTTAACTGTTTGTGCCTTCTGGCATCTCTGCGCATGCGCACACTAGGAACAGGCTCCTCCTGTTCCTCTGCCTCTCTGCTGTCCGACTCTGGAGGCTCCGGAGTCCACGCATCACTCCCAGGTGGCCCTGGCCCCATCTTTGCCTCCGACGCAGAGCTCTCATCCGGGCCTTCCCTTGACTCCAGGACTGGCCCATGTTCCTCCCCAGCCTCCTCACTGTCCGACTCTGCTGCCAGCTCCGCAGGCTGCTGGTGGACCACACTATTCTAATGCAAAGAAGCCCAACTTCCTCTCTAACCATCTCCCCACAAATCATTAAATATAAAAATAATTTCAACTGCACGGAGCTGTCCAAATTGCCTGGTTAAACAGGAAGAACTACAGAGAAACATAGGACCCAAGACAGCAAATCAGGATAACTTGCTGAAATTGGTGTAAGACCTAAACATATTTTGCCATTCTTTAAGCCAGAGTTTGCCAGGATGAAAGGCAAGAAACTGAGAAATGATAGTAGAGAATTAATATGGATGCGAACAGAAAAATAAGGACGCTTGATTCTTGATTTTTAACATACTTCCAAAACCAGATCAGCTTTAATTGAAATAATTCCAGGAAGAGGGAAAAGAAATGCCATCTAGCTATCTTTTCTTAATATCCCTAATACTTACATTTTCTGCATCAAAAATAAATAGATTACTTATGTGTTTGGTATATTTTCAATTTCTTCTAATTGCTTTAGGAAGTTCTACCTTGACTGCCCACATACTGTCAAGCTATTATCATTATCATCTAAATTTAATCAAATGTTTAAAAATAATCATTTTGTACCTTGCAGCATAATATAGAATGGGATTATAATGCTTTGAAGTATCCCCTAATTCTCTAGAAGAGGTTTTGATAGTGTAGAGAGGTGGAGAATTGCCACCTCCAATTTTACTCCTGGAGTAAAATCTTTCTCTAGGTGGGGATTTATTTCTATCATTTACAGCCCAGCCCACCTCACCTCACAGGGTGGTGGTTATGGGGAAAATGGGAGGAGGAAATTGTGTTGGATATGTTTGAGTTGTTTGTAAAAATAATAAAGATGGGATGCAAATAAATAAAAATGTAAAAATAAAACAGTAACACCCACCTTTCACAAGTAACTCTGGGTAGTTTACAGTATTAAAAACAACTCGCCCCTCCCTCAAAAAAATATGATCCTCGCCTTCCAGGGGCACCCAAAGATAAACAAGAACCCTGGTAGCGCAGCAGACTAAAGCACTGTTATTAACATCAGCTGCCTGCAATTACTGCAAGTTCAAATCTCACCAGGCTCAAGATTGACTCAGCCTTCCATCCTTTCTAAGTTAGGTAAAATGAGGACCCAGATTGTGGGGGCAATAAGCTGACTTTGTATAAAATATACAAAAGTATGAAGGCTATTGCTTAACGCATTGTAAGCCGCCCTGAGTCTCCAGAGAAGGGCGGCATATAAATAAATAAATAAATAAATAAATAAATAAATAAATAAGAACAATTAATCACCTATGGTAACAGAGTTTATCTCCACCCTGTTTCAAGTGCCTGGGGAACAGCCAGGTCTTCAGTGCCTTATGGAAGGCTCACAGGATCGGGGGCTTCTGAATCTCCAGGGAGGAGGCTATGCTGTTCCACAGAGCAGATGCTGCTACCGAGAGGACACGACTCAAGATGACACTGTTTAATAGAAGGGACCTGGAGCGCTTTACGAGGTTTGCAATAGTGGCAAATATCTGGAGCTCAGGTGCCAGATGAGGGTGAGGGTTCTTTCTCCAAGCTTGTGGGTTGGTTTTCCGAATGTTTTGTTACCAGGCTAGGTAACATCTTCAGCGGAGTTTAGGGGATTGTTCGTGTTCTTCTGTTTATAAGAGCTTCGGGTGTGGGTGTGTCAAATGAGATCTCTTTACGAGGTCTCTGGAGACTCTTAAGGCCAATTCTCGGGAAGCATTTAAGGACAGATTCTGATGAATCTCCAAGAAAGGGAGATTTCAGACTTCTGGGGTAGCTTCGCAAAGCCCTATCATTCATTTGTTTTTGCTATTGGAGCAGTGCTTATAGGAAGAATATTCTAGACCTGGGACTGGAGTCCTACAGCCCTCCCAGGTGTTGACGAACTACAAGCCTTGTTAGCACAAATGAGCAGACTCAGTGATAAAGGATGCCGGAAGTTGTATTTTGGTAATGCCTTGAGGAATAGAAGATGGCTTTTGAAAATGGGGGTGGAACAATAGAAGCCTATTGTAATAGCCCCTGCGGTTGGATTTTGCTGTTGGAAACTGACGCGTTGACTTTTTCTCAACTCTCTATAAAACTAATGCTATATTTTCAGGTCTGTAGTCCTTAATTAGGACCATTTGAAGTTACAACCTCACTGACATAAGTGATTTACAACTGGTCCTCATACTTAGGACCGTTACAGCATCCTTGTGGTCACATGATTGTGATTCAGGTACTTGGCAACCAACGGTGGTTGCCGTGTCCCAGGGTCATGTGATCGCTATTTGCGACCTTATTAGCCAGCTTCCGGCAAGCAAAGCCAAAGGGGGAAATTGGATTTGTTTAAAGACAGTGTCAAAAAAGGGGTCGTAAAATCAAGCAAAATCTAACGCAGTCATGTGCATGACTCATTTTTCAAAATGTGTTCCGGTTCCAGTTGTAGTAACTTAAGGACTACAGTAGAACCTCTGGTCACAACTATAATTCGATTCATAACTTTGGTCGCAAACCGATTTGGTCATGACCTGAATCTAATTTTGGAAATTTGGCTCTTACAAAAAAAATGGTGTGGAAGGGGAAATTGGCTGCAGGGAAAAAAAATTGTGAATTTTTTGGTGGGAACCCAATTTGGTCATGGTCAGAAGTGTTCGTGACCAGAGGTTCTACTGTATCTACATTCAGAGGAAGGCCAAATTGTGAAAGATAAATAAATATTCAGAAGATTAGGAATATTTAGCCATGAGAAAATTTAAGGAGGCAATCTTGTGCTCTGTTTCATTTATTTATGTGTTTATCAAATAGAATTCCACTTCAAGTCACTAGTTTAGTGTTCCAAGAAACGAGTGCAGATTAAGTGATATATTTAAGCCGATTCTATAGCTTTCTTCGAGCTGCGCTGTAATCACAAATATCCTGCATAGAACAAGACGATGGGTATGAGACACCCTGTAGCTATAAAAATCTGAAAAACTGTGAAACAAAAACAGTACAGTAACCAAAATGAGCGTTTGGGCTTTTAACTCTGTGCTATAAATGTGTCACTTCATTAGAACTTATATTTTACTTTATTGCTGCCATTGTGGAGGTTAATGTTGCTTGTTCTATGAAAAGTTATGCTTGAGTAGGGCTTTTAACTACATCCCAATTGCAGTACCATCAATTTTTCAGTGACTGAATTGGTTAAAAAAAAAAAAACACCCCTAAATCATGAAGGTTTTGTTGCCCATATACGGCATGACACAATATTATGATGTACATAAAACTTGATCATATTTATTGTAATTTTTTAATCTAGGGCTGTCAGTCCATCCTGCCACTGCCCATCATTTCACCTATTCTTGATCTGTTGTTACTCCTAGAATATGGTATCAAGTTTTCGGGTGTCTGAACTGCAAGTGTTGCTGGGTTTTGCTGGACGTAATAAAAGTGGGCGCAAACATGACCTCCTAATGAGGGCTCTGCACTTGCTGAAGAGCGGCTGTAGCCCAGCAGTTCAGATCAAGATCCGGGAACTCTACAGGCGCCGCTACCCCAGGACAGTTGAAGGCCTTTCTGACTTGACTGCTCTAAAATCTTCAGTTTTCAACCTGGACAGTAGCTCTTCTCCGGTTGAACCTGACTTAACCGTGCCCGGATTGCATCCTGCACCTTCAACTTCGGCCGCTCCCCAATCACCTTCCTCTCCTCTTGGTTCAGTGTTACTTCAGGACACCAAGCCTCGTTTTGAGATGCAGCAGCCATCCCCTTCGGTTCCTCCAGTGCATCCTGATGTTCAGTTGAAGAATCTCCCTTTTTATGATGTGCTTGATGTTCTCATGAGACCGACCAGCTTAGGTAAGTGTGCTAAAATACAACACGTTTGATACGGACGCTTATTGTTTCCAATCCCAAAACTAACTTAGGATTGTTTGCTTGTTAATGTTCCAATCTGATCAGCAATCCCGTTTTATGTAGCCTTTAAAAAGAAGAGTTATAGCTATAGTATGGTGTGCCCAACAGCTATGCATATTGCAAAAAAAAATATTTAAATACAGGTAATCCTTGAGTTAGGACTCCACTTAAGCCCAAAATTTATGTTTTGAAACATTTGTTAAGTGAGCTTGCCCCAATTTACGACTTTTCTTGCTGCCGTTGTTAAGTGAATCATTGTATTCATTAAGTTAGTAACACAGTTGTTAAGTGAATCTGGATTCTCCATTGACTTTGTCAGAAGGTCGCAAAAGCTGATCATGTGACACACACACACACACACAGGACACTCCAACTGCCAGGAATATGAATCACTTGCCAAGCATCTGAATTTTGATCATGTGACCATGGGGATGCTCCAACGGTCGTAAGGGTGAAAAAAGGTCTTAAGTCACTTTTTTCAGTGCCGCTGTAACTTTGAACGATCACTAAATGAACTGTTGTAAGTCGAGGACTATCTGTATAGGATTTTGAATTGTTCCTATGCATTATCCTTGCGATGCACGTGACCAAGATGGCGCCGCCTCCCTGAACCCCAATACCGATGGCGATTTTGGGCCATCTGAGGTCTTCGGGGACTGGATGGATCGTCCTCGCCCCCAACCCGGCTGTCTAAGCTTCCCGCCGGCCAGCTGAGAGCTTTTCTGCTCTCCGCAGTACTGTGGCTGGGACGGGGCCGGCATTTTTTCTATACCGGCATTTCTTCTGTGTCATGAGGGTGAGGAGGTGAGGATACCAACGGGGCAGCAGCGACGCCCGGATTGTGGCAGCCTGCTGTCTTTTCTCCTGTGGGCTGTGGCTGGGTTGCCGGTGGTGCTGCGGCGATGGCGGGGACCGCGTCAGCGGCGGGGCAGTCCTTTTTGAGGCGCTGGGATTCTCCTGGCACATTTGGAGCCTCCATGGCGAGATTGTGGCGCTCAGGGCAGCAGCAGCAGTGGCGCAAATAGAGGAGTCCTGCGCTGGCCATTGGAAAACATTTTGAAATCCAGTAGCAGCCTTGGCAGCCCTGGATAGATGCTGCTGGGATATCTTTCTATCTGTCTATAATTTACCATCACTGAACCTCCCGGACTGTCACGGGATGCTTGGTTTTACTTGAAGGGGCGGTTCCCATAACGATCTGTGATCCATATAAAAACCAGTTGAAGTTGGGGGGGAATTAAAAAAAAAAAAAAAAACGACCCTGAAAACTTGTAATGGCGAGCGGACGATTGTGGAATTGTAATCCCGGCCGCCTCATATCACACACACACACACACCCCCCAGTCTGGTCTTAGAAGAGTCATTAATCATTGACCATCTAACTGATTATCCTGCAGCAAATTACATCTTCCTTGTATTCCATTGCTAATCCATCTCATCTTCTCATAACATCCCCACCAGCAGGATCCTATAGACCGGCCCTATACTCTATCAACTCTTTCAGTTGGACGGAGAGTTAACAGCTAGGATAGGGATATTGCAGGAGTCGGTACATTGCTCTATTCACCACCAGAAAGATTAGCACATCAGATTCCATGGCCAATTATACTCTAGCCAGCCTTTGTAAGAGGATGGCCTTGGACATTATTTCCTTGGTGTTCTTAAATAACATAAGACTCCTCCTACTGTTATGAAAGGACAATAGAACTTACTCTACCAACATCTTGATCTACATCTTCCTTCTCTCCAGGACCTCAGAACTTATGTCATCTTCTTGGCCATTCTAAGATCACCCCCTGGTCACCGGATGTACTCAGCGGCTGAGCTTCTTGCTCTGCGAGACTCCCCACTCTCGCAGACCTGGCCCTCCACACTATAGAGGGCCTACCTTGATGACGGATTTTGGAATCCCGAGAGGTGGCATGTTGCAAAGAGGGTCTTTTTATCTAATTTCCTATCCAAAATTTAAAAAATTTCTAAAAGGGGGGTAAGTGGGAGCGGGGTGAGTCATGTGGATTTGGGAGACAACCCACAGAGGGAGGGGTTAGAAGAGGATTTTTTTAAAGGAGGCCAGATCCGGCACAGAGTTATACCATAGGATGTGCGGAGCTGGGAATGGAGGAGCTAAATATTTGTATGGAAAGGGGTTGCTCCATCAAGGTCGTGGTTGGGAGGGGCAGATATGGTGGGAGCAGAGGGCCACATCATGTTAGGGGGGTACACACCCGCTGTCTTCAAGCGGTGGCACGCTCCGACCCCCAAGGCTCTTCTTGTTCCCTGGGTTGCTCAGAAACTCAGGGCCCGAGCCTTAGACTGATGTTATGCAACGTCAGGTCCGCGGTTAACAAAGCCCCCCTCATTTGTGAACTAATTCAGGAGGGGAAAGCGGACCTGGCGGGTATTACAGAGACCTGGTTGGGCCATGAAGGGGGGGTCCCCCTCGTAGAGATGTGCCCACCAGGTTTCCGCGCATTCCATCAGCCAAGGGCACAAGGTAGGGGTGGAGGGGTGGCGGTTATTATAAAGGAGAGTCTTGATCCCAGGGAGACCACTGTTCCTCAGACAGCTGGATGTGAGTCCCTCCTCGTGAAATGGGGTCATGGGTTACAGATGGGCCTGCTGACTACGTACCTGGCTCCCTGCCACGTAGCAGCAACCCTGCCTGAGCTCCTCAACGTAATAGCCGGGGTGGCGGTTGAGATTCCTAGGCTTCTGGTCATGGGAGATTTCAACCTGCCGTCCATCTGTGAAAAGTCTGAGGCAGCTCGGGAGTTCTTGGCTTCCATGACGGCCATGGACCTGACCCAGTTAGTTCATGGCCCTACTCACACATGGGGACACACTCTGGACTTGGTTTTTGTATCTGACCAGTGGTTGAATGGTCTAGATATAGGGGATATAGTCATCAAACCCTTGTCATGGTCAGACCATTCTCTCCTTAGGCTTGACTTTCTGTCCGCTACACCCCACTGCAGGGAGGCAGAACCGATTAAGTGGTTCCGCCCCAGGCGCCTGATGGATCCTGATAGATTCCAAATGGAGCTTTGGGCCATTTCCTGAGACTCTAGCTCACAACTCGATTGAAGACGTGGCGGCAACCTGGGATAGGATGGCTGCTGGTGCTTTGGATTGGGTTGTGGCTTTGCGGCCTCTGACCTGGCTCCTTGGTTTTCTAAGGAGCTGAGGGAAATGAAGCACCGGAAAAGACGCCTGGAGAGTAGTTGGAGAGCCAGTCGTTCCGAATCTGACCGAACACTGGTGAGGTCTAATATTAAGACCTACTTAGTGGCGATAGCAGCGGCAAAATATAAGTATTTTTCTGCTATTATTGCATCGGCAGATAATCGCCCAGCCGCCTTGTTTAGGGTGACTCGCTCCCTCCTTCACCTGGGAGCACGGGAAGACCCCTTACAAGGTCGAGCTGAGGATTTTGCACAATATCTGCACGATAAAATCGCTCAAATTCGGGAAGGCTTGGATTCTGACTGGGTAGGTTCAGATGGAGTGATGGAGACGGGTCTTGAGGATATTATTTGGGATGAGTTTGACCCTGTGACCCCTGAAGACGTGGACAGGTTACTGGGGAAGTTGAACGCGACCACATGTTTATTGGACCCGTGTCCCTCCTGGTTGGTACTGGCTTCCCGAGAGGTTACACGAGGCTGGCTCCAGAGGATATAAACGCTTCTCTGAGTGAGGGTTTCTTGCCTTCCGCCTTGAAAGAGGCAGTGGTGAGGCCCCTCCTCAAGAAGCCCTCTCTGGACACAGCTGTTCTAGCAAACTATCGTCCTGTCTCCAACCTTCGCTTTGTGGCTAAGGTTGTTAAGAGTGTGGTGGCACAGCAACTCCCACAGTACCTGTACGAAACTGTCTATCTAGATCCCTTCCAGTCCGGCTTCAGGCCTGGTTACAGCACTGAAACGTCATTGGTCGCATTGGTTGATGATCTCTGGAGAGCTCAAGATAGGGGCTGCTCCTCTATCCTGGTTCTATTAGATCTCTCAGCGGCTTTTGACACTATTGACCATGGTATCTTGCTGCGCCGACTGGAAGGGCTGGGAGTGGGAGGCACTGTTCTACGGTGGTTCTCCTCCTATCTCTCCGACTGGTCGCAGTCTGTGTTGGCAGGAGGGCAGAGGTCGACTTCAAGACACCTTACTTGTGGCACCTACTTGCCGCAGGGGTCGGTCCTTTCACCTCTTCTGTTCAACATTTATGTGAAGCCGCTGGGTGAGATCATCTGTGGTTTTGGGGTGCAGTGCCATCTTTACGCTCATGATACTCAGCTGTACATCTCCACCCCAGACCACCCCAATGATGCCCTTGCAGTGATGTCCCAGTGCCTCGAGGCCGTGCGGATCTGGATGGGAGAAGCAGGCTCCGACTCAATCCCTCCAAGACCGAGTGGCTGTGGCTGCTGGCGTTCCGATATAACCAGCTGATACCATTGTTGACTATTGGGGGCGAGTCATTGGCCCCCACGGAGAGGGCTCGCAACTTGGGTGTCCTCCTGGAGACGCAGCTGTCTTTAGAAGAGCATATGGCGGCCGTGGCCAGGAGTTCTATCAGGTTCACCTGATTCGCCAGTTGCGACCCTTTCTGGATCGGGACTCCTTATGCACAGTCACTCATGCCCTCGTCACTTCTTGACTGGACTACGGTAATGCTCTCTACATGGGGCTCCCCTTGAGGTGCACGCGGAGGCTCCAACTGGTCCAGAATGCGGCCACACAGATGATATTGGGAGCGACATGACGCTCACATGTAACATCTCTCCTTAGATTCATTAGATTATCAATCAGAAAGATCTGGAAGGGACCTTGGAGGTCTTAAAAACCTCCAGTGATGAAGCACCTATAACTTCTGAAGGCAAGCCGTTCCACTGGTTAGTTGTTCTAGCTGTTAGGAAGTTTCTCCTCAATTCCAGGTTGCTTCTCTCCTTG